GTAAACAAATAGTTGTTATTAAAAAAATATGCACAAGTAAAAAAAAAAAGATTAGATGCTGCTCTTATTACAAGGTAGTTAGTTCTATGTGATTGGTGAACTGTAAATTATTGGCGTCGGCGTGTTTTCTTTGAAGCATTTTTGCTATTTTTCGATGACAATGTTTCTTGTGAACGTGATTTTTTATTTGAATTGGCAATTATACACGGATATTTAACGGTTAGTTGTTCGAATTCTTTTTTTTATATAGAAGAGGGCCCATGATGAACCGCAACATCAGGGGAATTGCAGGTGCGTTGCCGGTCCTTTAGAAGGGAATAAGCTCTTTTCTTGAAGGTCCCCAGGTCGTATGGGTCCGAAAAAATCGCCGGTGGTAAACTATTCCACAGAGAGGTTGTACGCGGAAGAAAACTCCTTTTGAAACGTACTGTGGTAGACCGCCAAGCATCCAGATGGTGTGGATGGTATAGAGAGGTTTGCCGCGTATTGCGTTCACGAAATTTGGCGGCTGGGATTAATCCGAACAATTCCTCAGAGCACTCTCCATGGTATATGCGAAATAAAATGCAAAGAGATGCAACATCTCTTCGCAGTGTCAGTGAATCGAGCCGATCGGAAAGCACTCGGTCGTCGACGATTCGAGCCGCTCTGCGCTGGATGCGGTCAAGTGGAAGGAGCTGGTACTGAGGAGCCCCAGCCCAGAGATGGGAACAGTATTCCATGTGCGGCCGAACCTGCGCCTTGTAAGGTTGCAGGCGGTGTGCCGGCATGAAATGCTGTCCCGCTCTGCTGAGCACGCCAAGCTTTTTAGAGGCCAATTTGGCCTTCTCTTCCAAGTGACCACGAAACTGCACGTCACTCGATATGTCAACGCCGAGGATTCCGATACTGGCTGAGGCAACAAGGGGAGTGCCTTGAAACTGAGGAGATACGACAAAGGGGTTCTTTTTAGCGGTTAACGCGCAAACTTGTGTCTTCTGGGGGTTAAATTGGACTAGATTTAGTCGCCCACAATCCGAGACTCTGTTCAGCAAGGACTCGACTTCAGACACAAGGTTGTCCCGGTACTCGGAGACGTTTTCCCGAGAAATATTGGCTCAGCCGGTGTAAAGAGCATCAGAGCTGTCATCTGCATAGCAATGCATGTTACGGGTTTGCAACATATCATTGATATGCAGAAGAAACAGCGTTGGCGATAGCACGCAGCCTTGTGGAACACCAGCATTAATAGGCTTGCAACCGGAGCTTGCACCGTTTACAACGACCTTGATGCTCCGATCTGCAAGAAAGCTGGTGATCCAATCGCACAATTTATCGGGAAGCCCATAGGAAGGGAGCTTCGAAAGAAGCGCTTTGTGCCAAACCCGATCGAAGGCCTTCGCAATGTCCAAACTAACGGCCAATGCCTCCCCCTTGGACTCTACTGCCTCCGCCCATCTGTGAGTTAGGTAGACCAGAAGATCACGAGCTGACCGACCACGGCGAAAACCGTATTGGCGGTCACTAATCAGCTGGTGATCCTCAAGGGTACCTCATGAGCTGGCAGTTTACAATGGACTCCATTGTTTTGGAGAACAAGGAGGTGATGGCGATAGGCCGGTAGTTGGACGGGTCTGAGCGGTCGCCTTTTATAGGGATCGGGTGGACGAAAGCCGTCTTCCATGATTTTGGGACTACGCCTAGGGAGTAGGGGCACCGGTAAAGACGCGTTGAAACCGGTGCTAACTCTGGAGCACACGTCCTCAGCACAATTGGGGGGATTCCGTCAGGCCCACTCGACTTGTGGATGTCCAGGGAGAGGAGTGCTTTGCGAACCGAGCGCTGTGTGAACTGCACTTCCGGCATGGAGCACTCACACCGCGGGTTGGTCGGCGGCGTACTCCCCCCGTCATCGAGAGTCGAGTTGGACGCAAAGAAAGAGCCCAGAAGATCGGCTTTCTCCTTTGCGGTATGGGCCAGTGAGTCATCCTCCCTGTGCAGAGATGGAAGAGATGGCTGACAGAAATTCCCCTGGACAGCCTTGGCGAGAGACCAGAATGCACGAGTTCCAGAAGGAAGGCGAACTAGTTTCTCGCCAATTCTGCCTATGTGCTCTGACTTTGCCTTAGCAATGACTCCTTTGAAGGACCTAGAGGCGGAATTATACTTCTTTTTTATAGCGCTGGTGTTTACATCCCGGGACGCTGATGCGTCAGCCCAGGCTCGGTAGCACTCCTGCTTATAGCATGATGCTATTTTACAGGAGCGATCAAACCATGGCTGAGATTTGCCTCCAATGGGCACCACAGAGGAAGGAATAAAAAGTTCCGTACCCTGAAGTACCACATCAGCGACATAATCCGCAACAACGTTGGGATCGACCGGCGAGAAGCAAACCCGCCCCCAAGGGTAGCATGCAAAGAAAGACCGCATCCCATCCCAATCGGCTGACCTATAGTGCCAAACACGGCGGCAGCCTGCAGAATGCGACTGCGATTTCAGCGTGAGTGGCACCTCACTCCGGACAAGACAATGGTCTGAGGAGCCTAAAGGGGCTTCGACGGAAATCTGATATCCGTCCGGGTGAGAGGTCAGCAGAAGGTCCAACAGGGAAGGTGCATGATCCTCCACATCTGGAATCCGCGTAGGCGAAGTAACTTGTTGTGTCAGACCATATGCCAAGGCAAAATCATGAACAGATCGCCCCGCATGATCGGTTAAACGTGAACCAAGCCATTCGGCGTGATGGGCCTTAAAGTCGCCGAGGATCACGATCTCTGCGGAGGGGATCTGCTGTAGCAACGAATCTGTGGCCATTTGGACGTGGTCGAAGAGTCGGTCTGTTTCGGCATTACCGATATGGGGCCTATAGAGGCACCCGTAGACGCGCGGATGGTCGTCGCTGTCTACGCGTAGCCACAGGATGGTCAGGTCCGAGCCTTCAAGTCTGCCGAGGCGTCGTGATCAGATGTCCTCTCTGACGTAAACGCAAACTCCAGCCCGAGGCACAAAGGAGTGTTCCAGTTTGTACCCCGGGTAGGAGAGATACGAGACATCAGCCGGAGAGGACACCTGCGTCTCGGTCAGAAAGAGCAGAGCCGGCCTCGCCGTCTCGAGATGGTAGTGGACGGCGTTTAGGTTAGAGTGAAGTCCCCTGATATTGCAGAAATTCAGTTCGGACAGCGTGGCAGGGGTCGCCTTGGTCTTGTTGCTCCGTTTGCCCCGAGCAGTTGTAGTCTTGAGCGGAATTTTGCCCCCCCCCCCTAGAATACGCGGGGCAGCCTGAGCACCCATGCTCAGAAGTGGAGAAACATGGTCGTGGATGCACAGCGAGTGATTCTCCAGGGGTGCTGGTACCCTCCTGGGGTAGTCGATCATTATTTAATTCCGCTACCATGTTGATGGGGGGGGGGGGGGGATTTGGGCCTCCGGCCACCTGCACTCACCAGATGAAACGCGGAAGCAGAGCTTCCACTTCACGCCGGTATTCTGTGAGGTCGTGGTACCACCCCGGTTTGAGCCGGCCCATACGTGCAACAGCAAAGCTGCCGCGTGGCTCTACCACTGTTAAATTTTTTGTCTTGTTTTTTTCTTTTTTCAGTCATAGTTTCAATTTTTTGTCTTGATTTGTCAGGTAGGATGATTACAATTTTGCCCTTTTTTTAAAATAATATTAACAATGCCATAAACATTACTAATATTCCCCTTTATCACTCGTGGTAAAGCTTAAATTGCTTGTGCGTAAATGAGTGGTTCACAAGCAATTTAAGAGTAGTTGAATGGCGCGCCTTGCCATTGGGCTACTGTCGATGTCTTGTTTTAGTTAAGAACTCGGAAATGGTGGTGAGCTTTTCAGATTGGTTTTACTATCCCAAACGGGTTGTCGATGCTCAGTTTCAAAAAACTGAACTAAGACAGGCCGAGCTTTCTCATGTGCAGATCAAAGTCTATGACAGACTTTTAAACTATCCTTGCTCAAGTCTGTCAACTTTAACTGATTAGATATTATAGAGTAAAGGACATCATGAAGATTTTCATTAGGCTTTTCGGGTATCCCATGGAATAGCAACACCTTGTGTCGCATAGCGGTGTCGTGTCTATCTAAATCGAGGCAAAGCCATTAAATTTGGGTTTTCAGCCTACCAAACAAAACACTTAATTCGGAGGACTCACGCAAAAGAGACGAAAGTTCAGGATGTGAAGAATTAGTCTCCGTGCTGGCTTTCTTCAGTTTCTCTTCATAATCAAGCATCCGGGACCCGAACATATTCTAAGTCAAGTTCAAGTTCTTTCAAGTTGTTAGTAAGCTGAACATCCATTATTAGCGCGTGAAGAAAGTCTTCCTTAATTCAAGTTTTTGAAGAAGAGAAGTAGTCACCAATGAGTGAAGTGAGTTTAGTTAGTACTTATCGCATTTAAACAGTGACAAGTACAAACAATAATCCTACCGTTACGTTTATGATCTTTTTCACACGTTCTTGTCGTAGGTGATCCAGTTTTCACCAGACAAAAGTACTACTACTACTACTTAAATATCTTTGCTTACTTCTATTTGATAATTAATACTTACACTACCACGACCTTTTTTGAAGGAATGGGGCTGACAAATGAGCACACAGTCCACCTTAAGGTAAGTGTATGCTGTAGCTCATAGACATCTACATTTTATCTTCGATTAAGTGTAAAAATGCAGATGCGTTGCCACTCCTAGGGACTAAGATGCCTCGTTACCGATTAAAAGGTTCTCCAGTTCTTTACACTCACCATACAAAACACAACAGCATTGATCTGCTATTTGACTCTGGTATTCTGTGAGAGCATTGTCCTTCCCCGGCCGAGCCGACTCATTCGTGCTGCAACCATAATATAAGCACGGCTCTACCACGTAAAGCCTCTTCCAAAATTTTACTTCTGTATTTACGACGTTTATCTGAAATAGTTATTGATTAATTTTTACCGTTACTTTTACATATTAGCAACGCTAAACAAAACTATATAATAATAATTATAAATGTTTACAGATCCCTGGCGAGTATGAAGTAGCAATATGGAATGAAGGCGGTCGCTACTACGTGTACCATCCGTGGCCCGCAGACAGATATGGATATAGGGTATTTATTTACATTATTCATAAACTTATTAAAATGAGAAGGGAATAAAGATAAATCTTATATTTTGTCGACTGCTAGTGAGTTTTAGGTAAGGGCAACGGCAGAATATCTATATATTAATTTTGTTGTTTAATTTAATTGGTTATTGTGATTTCTCCCCTGTCTTATTTTTGAACAGACTTTTTCTTTCCGCTTATTGACGAGCGGGGTTTTAAGGAAGACTAAGTAAGTCTTCCTTAAAACCCCGCTATCAAACCTAAACTCAAATCTTACCAGTTTCTGTATATATTACTCTACTCTATGCTTACCAGACTGCTAATGAAAAATATAATTTTCATTTTTTGTACATCGTGGCGAAAATAGGCAACACTTTTAAGTAGTAAATGACTACTAACACATTCTTAAAAATACTTTCGTAGTAAACACTTCTTAATAACTTTTTCCTAATGGTTATGAAATCCTCGGTATAGATGCCTCGAAATATATAATATTTATTTTTGATAGATTCTCTAACATCATTCATACGCCATGACTGTTAACTGTATGTTAATGTTGTATAATAAAACATTTTTTTATAACAGTGCATAGCCCTTGATTTTTTAACGGTATAATAATAGATTTGTCTTGAATTTTTATGCTGGCAACATAAATCGCGTTATTTACTGAAGTATAAATATTTTAATTTTTTGTCAATTATATTTCGTATTTTTTAATCTAAAACATACTTTATTTATAATAAATAAAAATTCTTTTGTCAAATTGTAAAAGTGTCAGAAGCCCAAAAACGATATAAGGATATTGTATGTTGGAATCAAAAATTTGCTGTGACGAAAGGTAACAAATTTTCTAATTCGAAGAGACCAAAAGTGAACTAAAATATATCTTCCTCCTATTTTCACTCTGAAATGTCACGACTATTTTTGAGTATTCTTCTTAGTCAATCAGTCAGTACTATCACCACATCGTATTTATTTATTTATTTCACAATTTATGTACACACAAGTTAGGGAGAGGACACATCATAATAAAAAGTTTGTACAAAGGCTCTACTTATCTCACAATGAAATTTCTTCCAGTAGGCCAGTTTCAAACACATATGATTACTAAATGATTATAAGGTGTGCACTTTGTTATTTTACTACACATATGGGTGTAAGATAAATATATACGTCAACTCAAATTCTTATATATATATATACATATATACATATACATACAAATACATGAATATATTCATATTTAAACAAACATTAATACATACATAAATACTAAATATAATATAAAGTCATAATTAAATATATAAACATATATACAGACACACATACATACATATATGTACATGCACATATTTGTAACAGTATAGTACATATCACAGATTTGAGACTTACACAGAAGACAGCGATAAATAATGTTCTTTCACTCGTTTTTTGAATAATGTCAGTGTTTTGATTTCTCGAATATCAGTAGGAAGCGAATTCCAGAGTCTTACTGCTTGTACGGAGAATGAACGGGAATATGAATGAGTATTAAAGGATGGGAATTTTAAGAGAGTTTTAAGGTGAGATCTACAAACTGTATCTGGGGATTTAAGAAAGGTAAATCGATTTCGGAGGTATGTAGGGAAGTTTGGGCTGTGTAGGATGTTAAAAAAGGAGACAAAGGATACGAGTGTTCCTGCGAAATCGGATCGGGAGCCACTTGAGTTGCTTTCTATATTCAGAGACGTGGTCAAACTTCTTGAGTCCGAAAATATACCGAATGCAAAGGTTTTGTAATCGCTCAAGTTTGTTTAATTGCTCCTCTGTGGCATCCAAAAAACAGACATCAGCGTAATCTAAGATAGGCAAAATAAGGGTTTGAACAAGAGTGATTTTCGTTGATAAGGTTAAAAAACTTTGAAGACGTTTTAATGAGTGGAAAGCATAATAAACTTTTCTACCTAAGTCCATTATGTGAGGACCCCATGATAACCTATTGTCAATAATTAAGCCCAAATTCTTCACAGATTCAGTATAAGTAATTTAAAAAAATTTAAAAAATTTTAAAAGTAATTGATGTGCCATTGATAATCACATCTGGCCGGGTGCATTTATCAATTAAGCTACTAGTATATCTGCTACTTACTATTATTGCTTGAGACTTACTTGGATTAATAGTTATACCATGTGATCTGGACCAACGACTAATTTTCTTCAAGTCATCATTCAGTGCTTCTATCGCCAATTTAGCTTCAGATGCCACAAAGTGACGGTAAAGCTGCAAATCGTCTGCATAAAGATGGAAGTTGGAGGATATTATTTTTGTTATAGAATTGATAAAAACGGTGAAGAGCAAAGGAGACAAGACGCCACCCTGGGGTACACCCGTTATAAGATTACACCAGTTGGAATAAGTATCATTGGAACGGATACATTGTGAGCGACCCCGAAGGTAGGAATCAAACCAGTGAATGGCCGAAGGTGAAACATTAATAGACTGGAGAATTTTTAAGAGGATATCAAAGTCAACAGAATTAAAGGCACTGCTGAAATCTAATAAAACGAGTACGGTTAATTGTTTTTGATCTATGGCTCTACGGATATCATCAGTTACCTGAAGAAGAGCGGTTGTTGTGCTATGACCGGGCCGGAATCCAGATTGAAATATATTTAAAATATTGTTAGAATTAAGGTAAGAAGACAATTGATTGTGAACAATATGTTCAAGTACTTTAGAGAGGAATGGTAATATAGATATAGGTCGAAATTCGGAATGTAATATAGGGTTAGCAACCTTGGCTATTGGAATAATTTGTGCTAACTTCCACGAGCGTGGAAAACAGGAGAAAGATAATGAAAAATTAAATATGTTAGTAAGAACTGGGAGAATACAAGGTAAAATCATAGTTATCATTGTGGAAGAAATTTTGTCATTTCCCGTTGCAGTAGAAGATATAGATAGCACTGATCGTTTTACTTCATCTTCTGACACTGATACAAATTCAAACTGGCTGGAATGTTGCAATGGACATCTGGATAGTTCTAGCAGGGTCTTAGCTTTTATAAATGAAGATAAGGAAACAGGTGGAAGAGAAAAATATTGATTGAGAATATCTATATCAAGATTTCCAGTCCCAAGCGCAGAGTGTTTGCCAATCCCGACTGTTTTAAGAAAACTCCAGGCTTTTGCTGAATCGCAATTTGAAAGTGACTCATAAAAGTAGCGCCTTTTAGCATCTCTACACAAACGATTGCAGCGGTTGCGCAGACTCTTAAACTTTATTAAATTTCTTTCCAAGGGACAATGTTTATATCTACTTCTGGCTTTATCCCTACGCGCCATAAGCTCTTTTATCTCAGTTGTAATCCAGGGCGCAGGACAATGTTTTATTTTTATACGTTTGACAGGTGCATGGCAATCATACAATCTAAGAATTAAAGCGGTAAAGTTGTTAACTATATCATCAATATTATGACATCGTACATGTGTGTACAATGAGAACTATCACAAGTAATAAGCCCTTATATATGACAGATCTAGAATATCAAGAATTGGAAGTAGTATTAAAGGCGCGAAAAACAAAGAAGTCCTTTGCGTTTTCAGATCGGTCTTCGCGACGGCGGCAAAGCTTGTCTCTTATACTTCAGTAGAATATCACGCCTGTGCGAGCATTTTCTCGACAGCGTGCCTGATATGAAAAGAAGGCCTTTCAGCATAGCTGATGTCACTGTGCAAGAGTTGGGCGAGATGCCTGAACCGGTCAATAAGCTTAAACGTACGTATCATGCGTATGACAAAAATACTTTTTATATTCCTCGTATGTATGACTGAAGAACTAGTAATCTTTTCCTCCCTTAGCTTTTTTGATTAAGTCCGAATGTTAATTAAAATTACTATGGCTACTATTAAATTTTTCGAAAATCCGAGAGCTTATACGAGTATCAAGATACCATATAATATAGAGACAATAGGAAAGTCGCGTACATTTATAGTAACTATTTATAAGTTATTTGGACTTTACCCAAAAATCCGGGTTAACCTATATTTACTAGTTTTTCGGGCATTACCCGTAATCGTAACATACATATTATCTAAAGAATAAAAATATTGATTAAAAATGTTTAACTCTTAATTTTTACCGGTTATAGTGGCGTTGTAAGAATATCCCTACTCTATTTTATCCCATGGGTTTTTATAATAACATTGGGTGACAACCACGTGCTCGGCGGTGAAGGAAAACATCGTGAGGAAACCTGCAGGTCTGAGGAATAAGAGAAAAAAATCTCGAAGACATGTGAAGTTCGCCAACACGCATTGGGGCAGTGCGGCGGACACATCCTTGCCCTAAAACCTTCTCAGAAATGAGGGGAGGCTTGGGACCCAGCAGTGGGACGTATATAAGCTGTATTGAATTGGGTGACAATCGAGCACATAGTAAACCTGACGACAAGTGGATGCTGTGGCCCATAGACATCCATATTTATCCTCAATTAAGAGTCAAAATGCAAATGCGTTGTCACCCCTGAGGACTAAGATGGAATGCCTCTATTTCAGTAAAAAGGGTTTGCGGTTCTCTACATTCACCATACGAAACACAGCAGCATTACGCTACTATTTTACACTGGTATTCTGTGAGAGCGTGGGTTAGAGCGTGGTCCACCCCGGTCGCGTCGACCCATTTGTGCTACCAATATAATATAGCTGCAGTTTGGCTCTATAACGTAAAACTGTGACGTTAGATGCGACATAGGGATTATTAGGACAAGGGATTGTAGCATCTTCTGATAACAATTTAAAATAAAAAAACTGCGGTACCCATTACAATGCTTATGTTCATCAGTGGACTTTATAGGCTGTAATGATTGGATGCATGAATGTATGGCTTTAGATTCTTTTATATGACGTTATCGTTTATCGTCAAGGATTTTTCTTTTTACATTTCCACATACAATTTATTTCATTGCTTTCATGACCTGATTATGCATTTTAAAAGGTTTGAAGCTCAAATATTGTTACGATTCTTTACAGCTGTAGCACCAAACCGTTGGGTGGTCCGCGGCCGCTTCCACGAAGCGGACGAGAGATTCCCAGAAGAGCACAGAGGACGTCAGGCGACACCGGCGGCCATCGCTGCCATTGCCATGGCGCATATTGTAGACCCAGCTAACTGGACCGCCGATGAAGTTGACGAGGTAAGCAAACTTTTTAAGGAAACTGTTTTCGCAACCTTAACATTCTCAAGAGTGATTTTCTTAGATGCGAGAGCTAATTCGCAAAGTTTCGGATACAAAATTTATAAGATATATACGTATTACTTTTTATGGTTTATAGTAAGTACTTTTTGCAAAACAATGTGACAAATGCTTTGCATTTTTTTCGTTGTTACATATGTGACTCATGAACAACAGTTAAAAACTGCTGACTGAAGACGATTATTTGTTTTAAAAATTAACATGTCTAAAATAAGACTTGTGTTTAAAAGGTAACAGTGGAGACTGGTCATTAGCGCAAGACAAAATTAAATTGCACTAGTTTGTGTGCAAACACAGATGCACTTCCTTTTCCCTCACAGTTCGTGCAATAGACCGCTGGGAGATCAGGCAGAGGGCAAGCGGATTTACGTGCTTTCTGAGGCACAGGGGGTAAACACCGCAAAATTCCGGTCTGCTACTGAGTACTTGTTGACAGAAAAACGCAACTGCTTTTGGCCCGACCTAGGATTCGAACACAGAACCTTACGATTAGCAGTAGCGTTTACGACCACTAAATCCAAAAGGTAGTCTGATACTGAATACTGTGCTACTGTCGACATAGAAGCTATGCTGAGAATATTAGATATATATTAGATATAGAGTTTTGGACTCGATGTATATCGAGAATTTATTGATATCAAACCAGGTTCCCGACCACCACTGTGTGGGGGAAGCTATAAGAACAGCTCCCCGAGCATGAGTTTTCATTCGGAATCGGTATCGTAATCGAGTAATTTTTTATTACGCAGCATAGTTCCATTACTACCGCTTGGGACCCTGTTTATCTTTCCATACAATTTTAGTTGATGGCAATACTCGTACAAAAGCCAGAGCTTAAATGTGTTTTTCGGGCACTGCCTGTTCTCAATATAGTAAACTCGGAAAAGCTATAATTAGCTGGAAAAATTAAAAGATAGGGACTCGGGGTAAGTTAAGAGGGTTGTCGCTAGTCGTGCCGACTTCAGCATTTTTAATTTCCATTAAAGTAAAATTAATTACAATTTTTATTAACAGTCCTTAGTTCGGGGCGACATCCTCTACCAAAATACTTTAGAGAACTTAGAGCGCAAGGGTATAAGTCTAGACTCTTCTAAGAACTTTGAAGGTGAAGATGCAGAAGAGGAAGAGGTCGCTTCCTCTGAAGGGACTTTGGCTGCCGCTGATGTTTTGGACAAGTTCAGAATTTCGGACTACGATTGTATTGAAACTGATGTTTTAGACAGCGCCTATTGCGGTAAGTTTAAATTATTTTGTTGTTTGATTGGTTTGTATCACGTTATTAATTTAGTATTTTATTTCCTTAAAACAGGAACCTTGTAAAATTAATAAAACTATCCAGGTATCAATCCAGCAAACAAATTTAAATAACATAAAATTTAAAGAAAAACATACTGACATAGCCATTAATCTTCTTACAAAACTAAATAAAAAATAATATAAAAATTCAATCGTACGATAAGATAATGGTAGTAAGAAGTAGAATAAGGTAAATGGTAGAGCTACGCTTAAGTTGTATTATGACAGCAGCTTGAATGGTTCTGACTGGTAAAAAACCACGCTCGCACAGAATAACAGCGCTGAATAGCATCTAATATCGTGAGTCACCCTGTAGCCATATCCGGGGTGCCAATCCGCTTACCGGTATGAGGCCATTACTCGGAACCTTTTGTAGGCAACTGTACTCTTACGAGTAAAAGAGTACTCTTTTAACTGAAAACCTCCCTACCTCATACTGTCTTAATCCTCAGGGGTGGCAAAGCATCTTAACTTTGATTCTTAATCGAGGATGAATGTAAATTACCACTTACTGTCTGGTGTACAGTGGTTTCTCATCCTCATTCTATAAAATAAATTGAGCTAGGTTTGGGGGAGGAATCAGAAAAATACCGGATGATGGTTTCGTTATTTTTTATAGGTATAATCAATGAAAGTAGCAGTTGCCTCTCACAGTTCTCTAGCTCGGTCCTTCGAGAACAGCGCAACAGCAATAGATTGTTAAAAGCTTACTTTTCAGATTTATTGCATTCTAGAAATATCTTAAGTTTTTTTGTGTATTAAGATTAATCGCGTGTTCAGCCTGCATGAAGAGCTGAAGAGAATATCAAGCATGATCACAAGGATCCCACATAAAAAGCAATTTTATCCAAAAATGTCAATCTCCCCCCTACTTTTGTATCAATCTGCATCTCAAATGCAGAATATAAAGCCTACAAACTTATAATTAAAACGATATGGACGGTTGTCTCAAGAAATTTATGCTGCACTGCTTGTTAGGAATGCTTAGCAAGCGTATATACAGAGTCAATTTAAAAAAGTGATGATGATGAGAATGTTACGAGTATATTATCATTATATATATATATATATATATATATATATATATCTTTATTACATGTCTTGTCCTTTAGCACCATTGTTAAAACTTAAAAGAATACTACAGTTGCTATTAATATTTCCGTTAACCACTCAACAACACCTCAAAATGCTTGTGTTAGAAGAGATTCAAGATAGTACCTAGTCAAATGACCGATTCAAACCCATAACTTTCCAAGTTTTCAGTCCATTAGAATATTTTCGTTACAAGTTTATAACCGATAACTTATCTTCATAAAGTTTTCATTCATTGAAAATGTAATATAGGTACTTACGTGCATATATTAGTTCAATGATTTAATTTATCCATCCATATTGTAACCACATTTCACCTAGAGCTGTGATAACTCAACGACTCGACATTCACCATTGTATGCGAGAAATCGAAGTTTGAGCCTCGTCGGCACTATTCAAATTGTGGATTTCATTTAAGTTTATATTTACTAAGTACCTCTGCGTTGGAGAAAAACATCGTGGAAGTATCTTGCATGTGTTGGGAATAAAGATATTTTCAAGGGTGATGATGATGATGAGAATTTGATGTGAATTCCGTGAATATGTACTCATTTACCGGCGGTGAAACTCCTTTTCTCTCTAGGAGTAGGTCTGGTGGTTGTCTGAAGGATATAAATAAATAGCTATTATATAGACTGTGAGGCATTTAATTTTACGCGTTGTCTTTTAGTTCCGCATAATCATTACTCACAGGATTACTACACCAAGCTTATATATATATATATCTTTAATATTGTGTATATCTGCGAATTTCTTCCGAGTAAAAAGTTAAAACTAAACCACTTTCAGGCGAATTAAACCCTGACTACACAAATGGAGTGATGTCGCTGAAGCAGTCGCTGAGACAACTTTTCAAGGAGCATTCACACGCTGTGGTAACTGCACGTGGCGCCTCCACCGCCGTATGGAGACACGAGGACCATTACTACATGTTCGATCCACACGCGTGCGATGCTAACGGTTTGTAAAGCATAATTTTTATGATACACACAATTTTTATGACACGCTATATTATGGTTGTTACACGAATGGTTCGACTCAAACAGCGAAGGACCACACTCTCACAGGATACCAGTGTGAAATAGCAGCTCGATGCTGCTGTGTTCTGTATGGTGAGTCTAGAAAACTGGAGACCCTTTTTACTGAAAACGATGCATTTCAACTTGTCCTCAGGAGTGACCACGTATTATAAATTTTCATTCCTAATCGAGGATAAATGTAGAAGTTAAGGGGCCACAGCATCGACTTACTAGCAGGTGGACTATGTTCTGTTCTATAAAAAAATGTGTATACATATTTACTTGTGCAACGAGTCGTCTAATTCTCATAAATAAGGCTGTGAAGGACAGTGGATGTCACATATGTTTTCTTTTTAAAGGCAGGCGATGTTAATAGCACGGCTGGTTTTCTGTGCTGGCTTGCAATGCATTGATTGTATTTAGATGAAAACTGTCATCGTCCATCGACTTCTTGCATGCGCCTTACCATTTCGACGCTATTTAGTGGTTGTCCGCCTCCCTTACACTTCGCTTACCTGTATGAGTCTGCCACTGAAGAATCGTTCAAAATTATCGGTTGTAGGGTCATCGAGCTATATTACCACCTCGTTTATGTAACCATCGAATTTAAGCCAGACCTAAAATACCCAGACTGAAGACAGGCATCACCATTAAAGATACGTATAGCACAGCGATCGTCAATCCGCTTAAGTGTGACGATTATAGCAAATCTTTACTATAACGGTTGAAGTTCATGTCCAAGTAGTATTTCATGGGCAGATGATGATGAACAAGAATTATCTATTTGACATCTTGACTTTATCACGAAAGCTAAAGTTAATATGGTGAGGTTATAGACTAGGAAATATCAGAAAGACATCTTAGTTTCTGGTATAATAACATGTCAAGAGTAAAACACAGACCTGGAGCGGGAACCAGCGACAAAGTTACCAAACATCTAATATTGGTAACCATACCACCATTGGTAACCATCACCAGATCATGACAGATCCTTCTTAAAACGGGTGATGTTTACTTCCAGCAACGGACTGTTAACAAAATGCAACTTACCTAATTACACTACTATTAAACATGACGTCACTCGCCGCCGAACCCAAAGACGTTGATGCTCTGTATGGATCGTAGTAAAAATTCGGATGGCGAGACATATTCCACGTAAACGTCTAAAAAATGGAGCGTGTGTAAGCTCTTGTGTTTTAACATCTTCGTAAAATTATCATATAACTGGTGTCGAAACCACACGTAATGCGTACGTCACTCGTACGAATTTGGTGTTCGGTGTCTTTTTGTCCTGCTGAATAATTTTAACAGCCTACATTGAAAATGTCGTCATAGTCGACGAAACAAAAAAGTATCATTTTAAATTTTTAGTAGGGTTTAATAGCATGGTATTTGATCAGGTTTCCCTTCGGATGAGGTTCGGGCAACTGCGTGCCTTGTCAGAGTGAAGGGTGGACCTGATGCATTGGCTGACGCTGTGCTGGCCAATCTACCACCGGGATCTGATGATAGTTTCAACATATCACCGGTAGCCATCACCGCTACTAAGCTCAACGTTGACATCGGCGCCCCGGAGACCAAGCTCGAGGTTCGTTCGCTTTTAGGCTAAGTGTTGTTAAATACTAGAACGAATCATAAAAACTAACTTATTTTAATAATGTTATTAAAATTAGATTGATGAAATAGCCTTAGACGAATATTGCAGCACTTTAAGTAGTCTACTTTTAGTGAAGATCGCGTGATCATCAATCCAATCTATTGGATCATGTTGTGTAAGAAATGTTTCACAACATAATGTTATTCAGATTGTGAAAAATAAGTGCATTTTTCTTGTGGCTGAAGCCCTATTATGTCGTGTTTATGTCCAAATACTCAAATATTACTCAACTTTAAGATGTTCTTAAGTCTCACGGTGACACAATCACTTTGATTTAAAGTGATAGAGATAGCACGAGACTTTACGGCATTTATACGTGGTAGAGCCACTCTGTCGCTATATTATGATTGTAGCACGACTGGGTCGGTTCGACCGTGGAAGGACCAAGCTCTCACAGAATACTAGCGTGAAATAGCAGCTTAATACCGTTTCGTATGGTGAGTGTAGAGATCCGGAGACCCTTTTTTACTCGAAACGAGACATTCCATTTTAGTCCTCAGGGATGACAACGCATCTGCGTTTTGATTCTTTATCGAGAATAAATGTAGATGTCTATGGGCCACAGCATCCATTTACCATCAGGTGGACTGTGTGCTTGTTTGTCAAAATTATTCTAAAAAATCTTAAAATTGAGTAACGTTTGAATATTCGGCTATTAGTGTATCATTTTAAAGAAAAGTAAATGTAAATTTTGGGATTACTTGTTATTTTTCTGAAGTCTTTCATACTTGGAAAGAAACAGAACTGTATTATTATTTTGGCCAGCTTGTGAGATAGAAAATTTCTGCACAACACGGTCAAATAAATAAGATGTTCTAACAGGTCAACTGTTATCGCCCGAATAGTCCATAGAAATATATTCGTATAATAACTACTTGAAAATAAAATACCGTCATCATCCTCTTTTTTCTGTGATATAGTAAATGCAGACTTACTAAATGACAGATTTAAAAACAAGTTTAATTTAATGGATTTCCAAAAAATAACGTCTGAGCCTATTAATAATAATTAAATCCGTCATATAAAATTTTCGTTATATTAAAATTGTAAGAACTTAATTTCATTATTTTCGCCTAATGATATAATGTGATCTGTCTTGCCTAGTTTGATTGCTTTTGCCCTTCTTAAATTGTGGAAAGACACACCACCCTCGATAATACGACACGTGGTTCGCATTTACACGAGGCATTCTTGGGTGAAGTAGACTGTGCGACGGCTGACCGCTAAGGGGTCCACTTATCAAATTAAGTTCTTACAACTTTAATAAGAGTTATTTATGCTTATACTGAAGTAGGTAATATTATTTTAACCATATTTAATAGATGCCTCTTGAATCATCTCGACTCTGTAATCGCCGTTATAAACTTAAAGAATCATGTTTGGATTTACAATTGATCTTTCGAATGAAATTAAGGTCAATCTCACCTCACGTAGTGATAGACGATGAGGCTCTCACGACCGACTAATGGCGGGAACTCCAAATCCTAGACTTAAAATAGTACTAGTGAGGTCATGGGTCTACGCTCTTTAAGTCCTCTAATGTTGATGCTGCCGGGGTAAGGAAAAGCTATGCCTAACTTTTATCGACTAAAACCCCACCGTGATAACCATTTGCGGAGGCGAGGACCACATCGCTATGTTTTGCTCTATAGATTAGTGTGAATAACTATTTCAAAAAAAAAAAAATATTGAAAACGCTTATCTCCTAGCAACATGAAATAACCCCTATAAATATTTGCTTTTACGTAACAGAGCAAAGCTTTCGAGTGGATTTCAAAAGGAACGGCTGCTATAATGATGGGACCTCGAGGAGAGAACACGGCGATCGGCAAGGCAGCTGAAAAGGCTGGTGTGCCGGTAAGTATTGACTTGTGTGTGTATAAATATTTGACAAATTCAGCGTAGTGTCTTATGTATATAAAAATAAAACATAAACTTTTTTTCGCAAACAAATCATGAAATATAAAGTACGACCTATAACTGCGATTTTAATTTTATAATATTATATTCAGGAAGAAGATAAGGCGGGACGTACAATAGCCCTACCAGCGGCGGCCGCGTTTACAGCGGCTACAGCATCTGTCCCACCGCCACATATGCATCAAGATCATATGTATAATTTCTTAGGTATATAATTTTAACATTTTTAATTAAAGACAACGTAATAGAATGTTACGTACGTGGGATATGCTAGGTACATACCTCCCTGCCCCAATGCGACTTAGTAGAACTTAACTTTTCTTTGAAATAGTATTAGTTAATTTTTTACACGTTTAGTTTTTTTCACGACGTTTTATTGCTATGCCGAGCACATGGTAGGTCAGCATTTAAAATTGCAATAAACATTTATTTGAGGTTTGCGGAGGTCAATCAATGCCCACGTTCTGTGGAATTTAAGAGAGCGCTTGTCACTAGAGGTACTTTCTATACTAGGTAAAATAACAGCCACTAAATTTCCGCAGCACTGCATTGTGTAAAATTTAGTATATAATTTCTCAATGGGAAAAGGCATCTTTCGTATTATTGGGAGACTGACGGAGCGGTGAGAGAATGCCCCGCTGTTATATTTCGTGTTGAAGCGCGTCCTTGAAATATATTTTATTTATCAGATGTGTAGATGTTTTTTTTTCACAGTCAAGCATATAAGAAATAAAAAGATAAATTGCAATACAAACTTCTCTCTTTTGTCTTGCCTCTGGACGGTTTTATTATAGTTGTGTGAAAAATATTTATTTTTGTACGCAAATTTTACAAATTGATAATGATCAAATGTAACGAAAGTTACTAGGTGAATACTTTTATTGTTATCAGACGATTATTTGGATATGTATATGTATATTTGTGGGTTCGTATAAGATTTCCCGTAGTATAAGCGGCTTGTTCGATTTTCATTTACGTGATGTATGTAGTTAGGTACGTCTCTACCCTCGGAGTGTCAGAGCTATATAAAATTTTATAGTACGACAATATTAATATGGTATGGTCATCTTCTACATTATCCTATAAATGTCCCTTCGTAGCGAGGTATTACTAGATCAACACGCTTGGCAAGTGGGTTGACGATTGCATTAGTATACTGAAGTCCAAAGACACTTGCATCCAGCTTCAAACAGAATGTTACACATGCCTTACCCCTGAAGACTGAGATGGAATGCCTCACAGCGTAATTATACTGGCTCACCTTAACCTTAAGACTTGCTTGCTTAGCGGTGGTAATAGGTAAGAGGGTCTGCAGCCACCACGCGTTTATCTTGCCATGGCGCAAAACGCACTCGTAAAAATGCTAAATAAACATTTGTAATTTCGGTTATTAATAATAGTTCTTTAATGGTTTATGAAAATTCGTCTTCGTTTTTAACAATTAAAACGAAGAAATGAGTTTTAGAGTTGAATACAGTCCGTAGTGCAAGAATTTCGTGTTTTAAGTTGGCTTTGATTTTAACACTACTAATTGTTCTATTTAGCATTGCAAATGTAGTAGTGGTTAGGAACAGAGGGTAGAGGAAAGGAGGATCCGAACCCACAAGCTTTTAGTTTTGCAGTCCTTTAACATTAGGGCTACTGTAGCATACTTCAAAAATACATTTTATTTTTTCTCTTTCAATATTTTATTAGATGCCGGTGCCGAATACTATACCAATCACTTAAAGAAAACTGGTCGCAAAGAAGTGACGCCAGGCGACCTGACTGAGAAGTTCGAGATGGGCGCAAACACTTTCTCAATTGAATTAGAAGAACCGATCACACTGCCTCTGCGTCTGCCCGACGAGCCAGAAGGAGTTAGTTAAAGAAAAATATTTAATAAATAAAATAAATACATATTAATGTCTCTGTCTCATAAAATCTCTTGCAAGGCATTTGTTCATTAAATCATCGTTATGGAATCTACTTCAGGTATAAAATAAGTCTTCAAATAAAAGGCTGTGTCTTCCCAACATATGTAGGATTTAAGTGTGTGCTCATACATAAGTTGAGAACATAGCTTCGACGTTACTCTATCTGAAGTACTTCATTGGTATAAGACGGCCTTATACATACAGTAAGAGACTGTAAAAAATTATGAATATAATTTTAAATCCAAATATAATTGTTACTCTTTATAGCAAAGGTCAAAATCTATATCTAGTAAGTAGTATAATCTTATAACTAGACCCAAATAAGCATTACTTCCCTTATTTCGAAAAGAAGTTTAAGTCCAGTTTAAGAGCGTGGCTTCCCCAATCGAGCCTTAGTATAGCTTTAGGGTAGCGCTACCATATAAAAAGTGTAGAAACGTATAACGAATAAAGAACGTATTTTATACCGATATATAGGAAGGTGGTGAAGAGGAGGAAGAATCTGAGACAGAAGAAACAGGAGAAGAAGAGGTAGAAGAGGAGACAAAAGAAAAACCTTTGAAACGTTAGTCTTTTTTATTTCTCAGAAAAAACTTTAATGATTTAAAAACTTATTATTCTAGTAAAGATGTTAAAGTAGAGAATTTGTAATTGGCTATAATGATGATGGCGATGAGGTTGTTGTAGACGAGGTAAGCGTAGTTTTAACCAACAAGTAGATGGATGAATTGAATTCGGCTAAGTATCGTTATAGTAATTCACGTATCTCGTGCTGTCGGTGGAGGCGTACGAGAAATCGCTATACCATTTCATCCCATGGGTGTAGTTATATGTGACCAACGTAAATTAAATAGCAGATGGGCAGAAGCATCTTCCTGATAACAACTCAAAAAAACAACGAAAAAAACTTGGTGCTGACCGGAAAAACCCACATAACGAGGGCAAATATCTCCCCTTTGAAGCAATCTGTAAGAAATATATGTATGTAGAAGTGGAACTTTGATAGGATTTAACCTTAAAATAATGCACAATCATAACTTATCAGAGGGATGTAAATAAAATAACGTTCCAAATTAATAATGTCTTATTAAACCATTAACAACATTGCGTTGAAAGAATCAATTGATATTGCGTTGTTTGTTTTTCTCTGGTCTCTTCTGGTCTCTCACGATCATCATACGATTAAGATCAGATTCAGATAAGATCAGAGAGAAAATATATAATTACCATTGTTATTTTTAATTAAACCGCAAATTTACAAGTAACTTATTCTTCAACTATTGATGGTTAATTTAAACATAAAGTAATGGTTACAACTATTAATATTGTCGTAGAAATTTCAGCACGCTTGCTAAGACCTCCTGCTTTGTATACTAGTATTCGTAATAAACGAAATATTTGCACATACTCAGGACGCTGAAGAACATAATTCATTACCACTATCATTTGTTACTAGTAAGAACTTCGTTCGTCACACCATATCTAACTTTATTATTACAGAAATAAAAGATGCACTATTCAACATGTGGAACGATCCGACGAAATCGTCGCACGTATGTCTGCTGGTAGGTGACTACCACCAGCTGGGGCTGTGGTTGACGCCTGGTGGGAAGGTAGTTGCCTTCGATCCCGCCCCAACCATGGCAAAAGGAATGCTTACAGCGCAAAGGATTAAGAAGGGTTAGCATTCGTGTTGGTGTTGTTGTACGTAATCTGTATTGGATTATGTTATGGAGGCAATGTCATCCCGGGGTGACAGAGGGAAATTGAAACTGGAGATAGGCTGCAGCACCTAATTATTATTATTATTGATATTACACGTTATTGATATCTAATTTCACAAAAAAAAGAAAAATGTAAGTGTTTATGCACTACAACATCATTGTGGGATGAACATTTAATCTATAGATTAACATTTGGCTCGATTGTCACCATCATCCTTACAATCTTTAACAAGTCTATTGTTGAGCTTAGGACTCCCCAAAGGCATACCAGAAAACACAGTCCTGAGACGCCTGCATCCATCGACTTTCAGCATCTCTTACCGGGTCATCTCTTTATCTAGCAGAGGGCTACTTAGCTTTTGGTGTAGGAGACTTCAACTCGAAAACATTTTTTCCTCATCAATTGTCAGTTAATCGAGCTATATGGCCTGCCTATTGCGACTTTATGCCTCCTTTTATGGCCGTAAGTGAAGGACAACATCTCAAATTAATACTTCATTACTGACAATACATTGTTTTCAACACTTATGATCTATCGTCTGTGTTCAGTAGTGGTTGTAAAATAAAATGAACTAAATTTTGTATTTTTGTTTAAAATTACAAACATTAAACCTTTAAATTGTTTTGATTAAAAATGTGGATAATGATCTATAGAAGCTTGGCAGTTTTCATAATTCATAATTATTTATTTGCATAGAATGTAGGTAGATATTACAAGAGTATTGTTAAAACATAAAAGTTCCTATACATTCTATGAAAATAAATAATTATGAAATATGAAAACTGCCAATCTTCTGTAGATCATTATAGAAGCTTGGCAGTTTTCATAATTCATAATTATTTATTTGCATGGAATGTAGGTAGATATACAAGAGTATTATTAAAACATAAAAGTTCCTATACATTCTGCCTTATCGAGGCGTGCAAATTTTGACTAATTAGATATAACAATTTTTTTTGATGAATTTAACTTATTTACAAATATCAAAATGTTCATATGTAAAAACAGTAAAATTAACTACCTAATAATTATTCTATAACTATCGAAGTCCTTTATAAATTCACAGCAAAAAAATTCATCAAAAATTCAAATTTTGTTTGCCATATTAACAAATCGCTCATGAAAATGTCTTTGAAAATAATCTAAAAAAATATGCACATAAAAATGTATGAGTAAATAGACAAACTAGCGAAATTATATGTATGGAATGTTATGCCTTGGTTTAAATTAACGTAAAATGTTATATAAGGACAATCTTTGTTGTATTGATTTTTTTCTCTAATCTTGCTAAACAGTTTCTCTATCCGCGGTTCACATTAGTTAAACAATGAAATGTTCACATAGGATTTATGGAACAGGGAAAAGATTAAAGCACACCATGAAATTGTCTAAAACATTAGCAAAATTATAGCATATATTATTCATTATACTAATTTACATAACATAACATACAATATTTATAATAAAACTAAAAGAAACTAGAAACTAAAATTATGAAACAGTCGTATTCCCTGCGGTATAGTGTTAAAAACACTGGTTGTGTCCTCACTGGATGGATTTATTTGCTCTTTAGGTTAAAACTACTAACTATCCCTCTATATTAGCCCTCTAGATTATTGGACATATCCGTAATTGGTCGCTTGAACGACAACCAATCACGGATTCAGTTCCTTTAGGAACTTAAACGCATGTGAACCCTACAGATCGATAGTCTCTACAATTCATTTAGAATAGTTTTATAATAGTGTTGTTTTTTCTATGAAAATTTTATTTATTTTATTTTAAACGTAAGGAAATTTTCCAAATTGGATTTCTAATATAATTTATGAGCTAATATATAATTTATAATTCAGTAAAGAAATCATAGCCGTTGCATAATATTTGCTGAAGTGGTATGATGCGAGGTTGTATTGATTTTTGTAAACTTTATACAAATTTAAAATACATAGTTAATAAAAACCGGCCAAGAGCGTGTCGGGCCATGCTCAGTGTAGGGTTCCGTAGTTTCCCGTCCGTCACAATAAGTGTTCCCACTTATGAGTTTGTACAAAAACTGTTGTTTCCATCCAAGTTCAAAATGATTTTCCTAGGAAGTCCTTATAAAGTTCTACTTTTCAGATTTTTTTCATATTTTCTAAACTTATGGTTCAAAAGTTAGAGGGGGGGGGGACACATTGTTTTTTACTTTTGGAGCGATTATTTCCGAAATTATTGACATTATCAAAAAATGATTTTAGTAAACCACTATTCATTTTTAAATACATTTCCAACAATATATCACGTTACGGTTGAAATTAAAAAAAAATCACTTCCCACTTTAAATATAGGGGGGCTACCCTAATAAAACATTTTTTTCCAATTTTTATTTTACCACTTTGTCGGCGTGATTGATACACATATTAGTACCAAATTTCAGCTTTCTAGTGCTAACGGTCACAGAGATTAAGCGAGGACGGACAGACGGACAGACAGACATGGCGAAACTATAAGGGTTCCTAGTTGACTACGGAACCCTAAAAACGGAAACATTATCCAGTATTATGAGCTTTTAGTGCATTCAATTATTGCAGATCAAAATATTCATACATATATAGATAATATACATAGCATTTAGTTTATACAATGTTTTTTTATCGTTATCTAAAACATTGTATGAGGCTTAAATATATAATCTTATCTACCTGATAATCAAAAACTTTGATAGGGGGTAATGATGATGTTGGTGATGATGATTATGATGATGATGATAGAAAAATACTTCAATTTCACGTCACGAAAATGTCACGCAATTTCGTCCTCTCTCCCTGTATTGAATTAGACTCATTAATTAATAGTACCATTTAAAAAATTCTTAGTATTCAGAAGTTGACTCAGTCGAAATTTTCAAGGAGTATCACCATTCATAAATTTATTTAAAAACCTTTCAGGAGATGAGCTTCGCTTGCAACGTCTAAAAGACGAGATGACTGGAGAAGGTGGCGAAGAAGCGGAAGACGAAGAACTCGGTGGTGGTAAGATACACTTAACTGGCCATAAGCATTTTAAGATGTTTTCTGGTATCAGTTGGTCGGTCGAAACACGTGAGCGATGTAATAGAGTCAGCTAGGACCGACTGTATTACATCGCCGTCATAGTATAACAGATTTAATATATTAATTTCGGGGTTGATCTAAATCTATACCAGAAAACCACGATTGAAGAGTTTTTGGTATTATCAGTTAAGAAATATCCAGACTGGAAACGATGAGCAAAGAGGTGTTAAGGCACTTCTTACCTAAAATGCCGATCTATTTCTTCTACTAATTAGGCAAGGCCTATTTCCGTGGTATCTTTACTAAAACTCTGAAAGGAAATCGAAAATTAAGTATTTATTGTACCCTTTTGAAGCCTTGGCCATTTTTATCGCAACCAAATTATTTTTACTCTTGATATAAACAATAGGTTATTAGATCTTGATTTGTATTATAAATTAAATAAAGAAGTAGGAGGTACTTTATTCCGATGTAAAAATCCTTATTTCCGATGTATACTCCTAATTCTGAGTTTACAAAATGCAATAAAAGTAAGAAGAATGAAAAAAGAAGAAGAAAAGTTTCACACTATTCCACAACTAAAATTATTTAAAAATATATGAATGAACATTCCCGTGGGTCCCTGACAAGTTAATTTTATATTTAATAATGTAATTAATTAATTAACAAGGTGTTGTTGAACAATTTAGATTTTCTTTCACGTAACCATCAGCGAGAGCTAATATTCCAGAAGTATTATCTTTGCACTATTATGTAGGTATTTATTTATGTATTATGTAGATATTTGAAAACATTTCATACTTATGAAATAAAATCCTGTTATTACTTAATATACCCAGCTAGTCAATTTTTTTATTGTAATACTCGTCATACGTTTTTCTAAAGCAAGATATTGTGTAAAATGATATGTAGAATGTAGTTTGTAAATTATTATCCAAAAATGTTTACAACTATATACCTAAGTTTTTGAAAGTTAATATGATAATGTCCTCCAGACCGTCCACTCCGTCCGTTTTGTTCACGATGGCAAGTCCCAACGGAGTCATCTGCGCGTGACAGGATTATAGTGATCAAGTTCATGCGCAAGCACAGGTGCACTCTCTATTCGATCACTCTCATAGTACGATGAAACAGTAATTCAATACGTACGTATGTTCCGAGGGACGGGGATGAAACACCGCCAAAAAGTTATTAAAGAAATAGATAAATATGCGTTATTTAAACTACCTTAAAGTGCATATCAAACTGCGTAAAATTGTCAACACTATGTATTTTGCGTGTGTATATGTGGCAGAATAAGGTGCTCATTGAACCTTATCCCGATCTACTATACATCGGAATAGCGTTACACATCAAAAAAAAATTACGTTCCTAATTCCAAGTATTAAAAAAGGAAAAACTTTTGCATAATTTTTATAAAGTTAAAAAATTAGAGCCTATATACGTCCCGCAGCTGGCCACAGGCCTCCCCTCATATCTGAGGGTTTTTTTTAGGACAATGAAGGAGAATGCTTAAACTTAATATAATACTTGCTAAAAATTACATCCAATTGCGTATGTACTTAAATTTTCCTTCTTTCTTGCTCATTCAATGAATTAACGAACTACCTCGGAAATAGATTTTAGTATTCGTTGTCTTTTTAAATTGTTGAACTTAAAGTCGTAAGGGTCTGATCATAAAAACAACCCTGAACATTTAAATCGAAATCATGTATCTGAAATCGCTATTCCGCGGTATACATCGGAATGGAAGGAATAATCGAAAGGAACCGGCTGAAATATTTAGCACCTAATTCCGCGGTAATTTCAAGACGTATTTTCACCTTCATTTATTCCGAAAAACATATAAAATTTCAGCTTTTTCGATTAAAAAAATATAATATGTAGATAGCTTAAAAAATTACACACACGTACAAAAATAACCAAAAAAAAATCACTATTTAATCAAACATGGTAATCACAAGATCTAAAATGTATGAAGCGTGGGTTCAGACCAACTTCTGATCCAAAACTAACCAATTATTTTAAAATGTATCCGCAATACTCCAGATCTTTGATGATATAAACGAATTTTCGGGTATTTTCAATTATGAAATATCCATACTGGAAACGAGTAATACGATGCTTAGGCACCTCGTGAATTAGTCGCCCCTCTACTTCGCCTTTTACTTCTAGTACTGTTCACAGTATTTGTCACAGTACAATTTCGCTATTAGCAATTAATTTGCTTATTGATTTATTCCCCTTTCAGATTGAAGTCCTACTTCCAGCATAATTGAAAATATTACAAAACTGTCATAATGGAAAATTTATAAAATTGTAAAATTGCTATGTATAGAAATGTTACTTTTTCGCTTTTCTAGCTTTATACATATTACATAAATACTTACGCCTGTCACCCAGAGAGGTAGGCAGAGACTACAGACTTCCATTTAGCACGATCCTGACACACATATACCTACACATACATGCTCGTCGGTTAAGGGTACTCTTAATTTGGCCCATTTTCAATATATCGTCAATTTGGTCGATAAGCTTTCGCATAGGACACTCTTCACTTCTGCAATATAAATTTGCTTTGTCACTCTTTGCTCATCCATTCTTTCTACATGATCTTTATGTATGAATATATCATGAGGAAAACCAGAAGGTGAACAACATCTGCTGCTAGTAATAAAAAACTACCAAGTTAAATAGTGTACTTTGATAGGCTGTAACGTATGTATGATTGAATGAATGAATTTGACAATTATGACACTTTTTTTACAAATTTGTCAGACTGTAACGTTTATTAGGTTGTACCCTGATAAAATAATAATGTCTTAAAATCAAACTTGTTGCTTCAAGACATACATTATAATATCCTACTCTTGATAATTATTGCAGAAGGTGAAGAGAAACCCGAGCCGGTGCCAGAGTTTGTTCCACCGGAATCCTCGCCTGCGTTGATGGTGTTCGCAAGTCCCGGGGAGTTCATCGATAAACTAAGTATTAGCAGATCTATATTTGATTGTTATTTCTTCAGGCATTTGTTTTCTTCATTTAAACGATAACTTTGCTAGGGGCGTGTATATTATTTGATTATTATGTTTTTAAATACAAAACTTACTTATGGAATATTTAACTATCAAAAGTTAAAATTAGATCTAAGAGCGGAACTGTCCCGCTCAAAGCGGGATGTGTGGTCACGTTAACTATACTTAATATTGTGCACTACTTTCTGGTGAAGGTTTCGAAAAATATCAAATTTAAATTAATTATAAATTATATTTTTTAAAAATTGTTATTAATTTTGTGGTGTTACTGGCTTTTTTCCAAATAAATTGAATGTAACTATAACGTAATTGTGAACAGTTGTGAACGTAATCCTAAATTTTTTATCCCGCGCGCATCGCACTAAATTTTTTTGTATTTGTAGAATATAAGATACCTTTACATTGATTGAGTTCATAATGTTGTGTACTATATGGGCGAAAATAATATTACTATTTCTGAGATCTGCATAATAAGTTATTATACACATATATAAGTTGATTAATTTAGTTCCTTTAAGCTTGCGACCTTACAGGCCGCGAATCCTGACATCGAAGAAGCTGTAAAAGCCAAAAGGCTAACAGCACAAATAATCGGAAACTCGACGGTTTGGTTGGTTTTACTTCCAGTGTTGGTTGAATTTTATTTATTCTTATATTGCCAGATCGCTAAACCATTCGATACAATTGCAAGACTTGATTTTAAAACAAAAAACATAAGCTTTAATTTGGATATAGCTCTAATAATAAAACGCTTATTTGGTACGTACTTTTAACAATAATTTTCCGCCCGCTTTTCTCACCTTACTCATTTTTTTTTCTTATAGCCCTCCAAGGAGGTTTAGACCGGAAGCAATGCCTGGCCCCTTATAAGTTGTATCCTGTGAAAGTGATAAACGAACTCACATCTGTGCTGAAGGAGAAGAAATTTCCATCTTCCAAGGCTGGCGGGGACGAGGCTGCTGATGAAGAAGGTTATTAATACAATTATTTATAACGACAGAAAAAAAAATTGTGTAGTGGAGGCGTAGCAAAACCAATAAGGTACCCTGTTTACTTTCGTGAGTGTAGTGAAAGTCCACGAGACTATGGAATATGTTAGAAATAAATGGCGGTATGAAGTATGAACATCTCCTTTATGTCGGACGTGAAATATCAAGACCGGTGACTGAAAGCAGCGCTGAAGCTGCGAGACGTCTGGTTCTGCGAACGTTAATCCACATACTAAGTGTAATGATTTGGGCAAATTCTTCCTTCAACGGAAGAAACCTATCTGCAGCAGTAAACTTTCGTGACCTGATGGAGAAGATGATGAAAACATTGACGCTGCTAACGCTGTTTACAAGACTTGGTTTTTTTCGTGTTAGAACCATGCTGCAGCTATATTATGGTCGGCTCGACCGGGAAAAGACCACGCTCGTGCAGAATACCAGGGTATAACCACAGATTAATGCTGTGTCTCGCAAGGTGAGTGTAGAGAACCGGTGACCCTTATTACTGGTAAAGAATATTCAATCTTAGCCCTTAAGGAGAGAGCAGCAGCTTTCCTCCCCGGCCGCCGCGGGAGACGCCCCGGGCGTCGGGGGCTACGTCGTGGCCCCCGGCCACCGTAGGCGCGGGCCTGTGGACGGCGAGCAATGGGTAGCTCGCCGTCCGTCCGTCTAACGACGACAGGCCGTGTCGACGGCGCGTTTTGTTCCACGCGCGCCTCAAAGAGCTGTCAGCAGCGTGAAGGGGCCCGCAAGGGCCGACGCCTGCCGGGGCTGCGGGCTGTTCGAAAGAGATACCGCGGCTCCGGAACGTAAGGGCACTGAAGGAACACGGATGGTTTTTAGTCAGTAAAAGTCTGACACTCCCTTACGCTCCACCCAGAGCGAAAGGCGTCATTAGATGATTTTCCATCCGCAAAAAAAAGGGTGACAGCGCATTTGCATTTTAAATATCTATTGGCCACAGCATTCACGTACCACCAGATGGACTCTATGATCGCTTGTCTCCCTTATTCTTTGAAAAAATACCAACTGTTTATCCTTGTATTAACTGTTGTCATAGTTAACCATAGATAAAACTATTCTTTTTTGTTTAGCCGCCGAAGAAGACGATCTTATCGAGCCATTAGATGACACAGCTGTGGGAAAATATTTCACGCGACTGGGGCGAGCGGTGGCGTCATTGCGGGGTCGGTTAGCTCAGAATGAGAACTACTTCATGGATCAGCCGAATAGGGATAACCAGGTTTGAAAAAGACAACTTTACGCATTTAATTATTTATGCTCGCTTGCTACGGATTCATATTTTCATACTTCAGGAGTAGAACTACTTTTAATAAATACCATAACTATTTACATACATAATACTATAACTGGATTGTGAGCCATGGTAGCGCAAGGGCTGAGCGTTCTCTGTAAATATCACAGTACGTGAGGAACCGGGGTTCAATCCAGTAATCTCTCTCCCTCTCTCTACTCTTAATCCAGGTTCAGAGGTAAATTGCTAAGTGGTGAAAGAAAATATCGTGTGGAATCGTGGGGAATAAATTAAAAAAGGTCGAAGACTTTGAAGTCCGCCAGCACGAATTGGGGAAGGAATTTTCCTTGCCCTAAAGCCCTCAGAAATGAAAGAATGAAAGGAAGCCATTACCCAGGTCTGGGACGTATGTATGGGCTATAACTTAACTGAAATTTCGTTGCTCTATTTTGTAGTTTCATGTGTATTTGTTTCATGTTTTTGTGGATTAATTTTCATTAATATTTAAATTATTTTTCTCTTCTTAGCTTATATGTTGAGCCTTGACCTTTTTTTATAATACTAGGACTCGGGAAATGCAATAATGGGCATCGTAGTGGAACATATCGAGCCGTACACCCACTGGAAACCGGCGCTGATAGACGCCATACTGAAATATGGCGATCGGTTGTACACGACGTCGCTGCCGCTCGCTGCCAACCCACCGCAGCTCAGGCCTGACGAAGTGCAACAAGAGTTCCACGTCACCAACTTCAATGTAAGCTTAACTGATGAAATTATGTTGTTCCTGTGGTTGATTTGTACGCGCTTACATTGAGACACTAATTCGGCCTAAAGTAAATTTCATTCGTTTTATACTTTTCATTAATTTTTAATTTAATTTGTTTTATGAGTCTCATTCATTTTGTTTAATTCATTCTTTTCATACCATACCTTTTATCACCATTTACTAGATAGAATCGTAATAAAGCGCGAGCTTACAGTGTCATAACCAGCGGGCTTAGTCAATAGGCTTTCTTCAATCGTAATTTTAATAGAAGACTATCTACTTATTAGTCTATTTACTTCTATTTACTATTTTATTTACTACTCTACGTACTATATACCTTCTACTAGTATAAGTGGTTGTTAAAAGTCAACTTGGTTTATCATGCTGCCGATCAGAAAACCAACAATTTGGTATTTTAGACAAATGTCGGCGATGTCTGAGGATTCCCTAAGAAATTCTTATATAAACCAGATTCTGAGAACAAGCCAAGTGGTTAAAACAGTAACTAGATAAACCCGCTTGCTTAAGTTTACTGACAAGAGAAAAAAATTATACACTATCTCACTTCCACAACTACGAATTCAACGACAACCCATATGTTTAAAACCATGATAGGTAGCCGTTCAGGTTACAGAACGTGTCAAAGAAATAGGCATACCCACATACACACTCTAAAAACATATACATACATACACTCTAAAAACATAACCTTCTTTCTGGGGCAGCTGAGCAAAAAGGGCCGACGTGCATAACCGGAAATACTGACAACAAAGTGATCCTTTTCGGTTTCGTTTTCCAGTACGAGTTGCCGAAACCTAACAATAAATATAGCACGTATAAGGACACAAAAATGTGAAGATTAGGATATCTTAAACCCTTTAATTAGCAAATTTCTGTTATTATTATTATATTTTAACAGGTAAGACTTGAGGTGGAAGGAGACGTAGTGAAGGGGGATATTAAAGCCAGCGAAACTGGAGGCGTGCTTAGTCTGAAGAAGGGTCTAGAAAGATTTTTCGAATCTGTAAGTACTTACTTTATAAGTATACAAACTTATATTATAAGCAAGATCTTCTTGCTTATAATCTAAGTTTAATGGATAGTTTTTTTTACTTTATACATCTAACCTTTAATTATGTATTTGTATTGTTTGGTAATGGATACTCTTTTGCACAATACATTGAGATTTAGTTTTCTGCCTGATAAAATCTGTAAATAGAACAAGGGTATCGTGATCTATATTAACTTCCATTAAGCCAAATATTCATATAAAACTGATGGTGTACAGATCCCAAAAATAGCCGCTGGGAGATGGGTTCATGAAATAAAACTCTGCTGCCAATTAGTAGTAAGCGCCTAAAAGCATTAGGTATTATTTTTTTTTATAGAAGAGGGGGCAAACGAGCATGTGGCTCACCTGATGTTAAGTGACTACCGCCGCCCATGATCAACCGCAACACCAGTGGAATTGCAGGTGCGTTGCCGGCCCTTTAGAAAGGAGTAAGCTCTTTTCTTGAAGGTCCCCAGGTCGTATCGGTCCGGAAAAATCACCGGTGGTAAATTATTCCACAGAGAGGTTGTACGCGGAAGAAAACTCCTTTTGAAACGTACAGTGGTGGACCGCCAAGCATCCAGATGGTGTGGATGGTATCGGGACGTTCGCCGTGTAATGCGTTCACGAAATTTGGCGGCTGGGATTAATCCGAACAATTCCTCAGAGCACTCCCCGTGATAGATGCGATAAAATACGCAAAGAGATGCAACATCTCTTCGCAGCGCCAGTGAATCGAGCCGATCGGAAAGCACTCGGTCGTCGACGATTCGAGCCGCTCTGCGCTGGATGCGGTCAAGTGGAAGGAGCTGGTACTGGGGAGCCCCAGCCCAGAGATGGGAACAGTATTCCATGAGCGGCCGAACCTGCGCCTTGTAAAGTTGCAGGCGGTGTGCCGGCATGAAATACTGTCCCGCTCTGCTGAGCACGCCAAGCTTTTTAGAGGCCAATTTGGCCTTCCCTTCCAAGTGACCACGAAACTGCACGTCACTCGATATGTCGACGCCGAGGATTCCGATACTGGCTGAGGCAACAAGGGGAGTGCCTTGAAACTGAGGGGATACGACAAAGGGGTTCTTTTTAGCGGTTAACGCGCAAACTTGTGTCTTCTGGGGGTTAAACTGGACTAGATTTAGTCGCCCCCAATCCGAGACTCTGTCCAGCAGAGACTCGACTTCAGACACAAGTTTGTCCCGGCACTCAGAGACGTTTTCCCGAGAAATATTGGCTCGGCCGGTGTAAAGAGCATCACCAGTGCTGTCATCTGCATAGCAATGAATGCTACGGGTTTGCAACATATCGTTGATATGCAGAAGAAACAGCGTTGGCGATAGCACGCAGCCCTGTGGAACACCAGCATTAATAAGCTTGCAATCGGAGCTTGCACCGTCTACAACGACCTTGATGCTCCGATCTGCAAGAAAAACTGGTGATCCAATCGCACAATTTCTCGGGAAGCACATAGGAAGGGAGCTTCGAAAGAAGCGCTTTGTTCCAAACCCGATCGAAGGCCTTCGCAATGTCCAAACTAACGGCCAATGCCTCCCCCTTGGACTCTACTGCCTCCGCCCATCTGTGAGTTAGGTAGACCAGAAGATCACCAGCTGACCTACCACGGCGAAAACCGTATTGGCGGTCGCTAATCAGCTGGTGATCCTCAAGGTACCTCATGAGCTGGCAGTTTACAATGGACTCCATTGTTTTGGAGAACAAGGAGGTGATGGCGATAGGCCGGTAGTTGGACGGGTCTGAGCGGTCGCCTTTTTTAGGGATCGGGTGGACGAAAGCCGTCTTCCATGATTTTGGGGCTACGCCTAGGGAGTAGGAGTACCGGAAAAGACGCGTTAAAACCGGTGCCAACTCTGGAGCACACGTCCTCAGCACAATTGGGGGGATTCCATCAGGCCCACTCGACTTATAGATGTCTAGGGAGAGGAGTGCTTTGCGAACCGAGCGCTGAGTGAACTGCACTTCGGGCATGGAGCACTCACACCGCGGGATGGTCGGCGGCGTACTCCCCCCGTCATCGAGAGTCGAGTTAGACGCAAAGAAAGAGCCTAGAAGATCGGCTTTCTCCTTTGCGGTGTGGGCCAGTGAGTCGTCCTCCCTGTGCAGAGATGGAAGAGATGGCTGACAGAAATTCCCCTGGACAGCCTTGGCGAGAGACCAGAATGCACGGGTTCCAGAAGGAAGACGAACTAGTCTCTCGCCAATTCTGCCTATGTGCTCTGACTTTGCCTTGGCAATGACTCTTTTGAAGGACCTAGAGGCGGAATTATACTTCTTTTTTTAGAGCGCTGGTGTTTACATCCCTGGACGCTGATGCGTCAGCCCAGGCTCGGTAGCACTCCTGCTTATAGCATGATGCTATTTTACAGGAGCGACCAAACCATGGCTGAGATTTGCCTCCAATGGGCACCACAGAGGAAGGAATAAAAAGTTCCATACCCTGAAGTAACACATCAGCGACAGAATCCGCAACAACGTTGGGATCATCCGGCGAGAAGCAAACCCGCCCCCCAAGGGTAGGATGCAAAGAAAGACCGCATCCCATCCCAATCGGCTGACCTATAGTGCCAAACACGGCGGCAACCTGCAGAATGCAACCGCGATTTCAGCGTGAGTGGCACCACACTCCGGACAAGACAATGGTCCGAGGAGCCTAAAGGGGCGTCGACGGAAATCTGATATCCGTCCGGGTGAGAGGTCAGCAGAAGGTCCAACAGGGAAGGTGCATGATCCTCCACATCTGGAATCCGCGTAGGCGAAGTAACCAGTTGTGTCAGACCATATGCCAAGGCAAAATCATGAACAGATCTCCCCGCATGATCGGTTAAACGTGAACCGAGCCATTCGGCGTGATGGGCGTTAAAGTCGCCGAGGATCACGATCTCTGCGGAGGGGATTTGCTGTAGCAATGAATCTGCAGCCATTTGGACGTGGTCAAAGAGTCGGTCTGTTTCGGCATTACCGCTATGGGACCTATAGAGGCACCTGTAGACGCGCGGATGGTCGTCGCTGTCTACGCGTAGCCAAAGGATGGACAGGTCCGAACCTTCAAGTCTGCCGAGCCGTCGAGAACAGATGTCCTCTCTGACGTAAACGCAAACTCCAGCCCGAGGCACAAAGGAGTGTTCCAGTTTGTACCCCGGGCAGGAGAGATACGAGACATCAGCCGGAGAGGACACCTGCGTCTCGGTCAGAAAGAGCAGAGCCGGCCTCGCCGTCTCGAGATGGTAGTGGACGGCGTTTAGGTTAGAGTGAAGTCCCCTGATATTGCAGAAATTCACGGACAGCGTGGCAGGGGTCGCCTTGGTCTTGTTGCTCCGTTTGCCCCGAGCAGTTTTAGTCTTGAGCGGAATATTTCCCCCCCCCCCAGAATACGCGGAGCAGCCTGAGCACCCACGCTCAGAAGTGGAGAAACATGGTCGTGGATGCTCAGCGAGGGATTCTCCAGGGGTGCTGGTACCCTCCTGGGGTAGTCTATCATTTAATTCCGCTACCATGTTGATGGGGGTGGGGGGATGTGGGGCCTCCGGCCACCTGCACTCACCAGACGAAACGCGGAAGCAGAGCTTCCACTTCACGCCGGTATTCTGTGAGGTCGTGGTACCACCCCGGTTTGAGCCGGCCCATACGTGCGACAGCAAAGCTGCCGCGTGGCTCTACCACTGTTATATTGTTAATATTATGTAAAGCAACCTTATGTACTCTTTGAAACAAACTTTTACAACTTGATATAAATAACACAAGCGTTGGACACAATGACATCTAGTAAAATTAAAATAAACTAAATATTGTTCACAACGTAATTGACAGATTTCATATGGATAGACTACTGTCAATTTAAGCCCACCGGCGTAGCCCATCGGTCGATACGGAATACTTCTGAACATTTGAAGTGTTTTGTGATTTGAAGATTATTGACTTTAAGTCGAGGCAAGACCTCAAACCTATCGTCTAGTGTTTCCAGTAAAATTATAATTAAAGTGTTCACAGTCAAACCGACAAGTATTAATAAAGGCAACATAATATCTTTTCTTTATCTGTATAATTAAACTAAACGGCTGGATCAATTTTGATGAAATTTTATGTGTTGGAGTAGGTCCCTGGATATATTTAATTCACAATTGGACCAGGTAGGTTTGTTGTAGAGATTTAGAAAGCACCCGTGTAAAGCCCTGGCGGATAGTCAGTTTTATGTGAATCGTAAGAGACAATTATGAGAAACGGCGGAAAAATCTTATTTATGACTTCCGATAGATGACGCTATAACTATGTCGTTTACGCCAGACCTACGACGGACACCAGCGCAGCGTCACTGCCATAGTCATTCCACCTGCTAGTGTAAGGGTGAGTTTACTAATCCAAGGAGACGCTAGTTGAGTGACTCATTGCTTTTAAATTATCAACGAGTAAACAAGTCAATCGGAAAGAAACTAGCCACTATGGAGAAAATTGGTCATTAAGTTTCTCACCAAACAAGGAAAGATACCTCAGACCATTTTTTAAGAGATGACATCGGTTTATGGGGATTCCGCTCCTGGGAAAACCATGATTTATAAATGGCACGCCCTTTTCAAACAAGGGAGGGTCTACATTGAAGACGACCCCTGACCTGGACGGCCGATTGGGGCTACCACGCCAGAAATAATCGAAAAAGTTGAAAAACTTGTATCGGAAGATGCCCGACTAAAGAAAATATAGCTCACAACATTAGTTGGAATATCAGAAACAACCATTTTAAATATCGTACATCAACCTCTTGGCATGACTAAAGTCTGTGCTGAAGATGGGTTCCGAGAAAGCTTTATGCGCATTAAAAACACGAGCGCGTCGAAAGTTGTCGCAAGTTTTTGGACCGCTGTGCAGAGCAAAGAAAGGAAGTTATGGCCCGAACTGCAACTGGCGATGAAACATGAGTTCAACATTATGAACCTGAGTCAAAGCAAGAGTCGATGCAGTGGCATAAAAAAGGCACATCCCCTATTAAGAAGTACGAGTATAAGGTGTCTCAATCGGCCGGAAAGATCATGGCGACGATTTTTTGGGATACAAAAGGTATCCTTTTGATTGATTATAAGAAACGTGGTGTTTCCATTACGGGAGAATGCTACGTTTGTTTACTAGATCAATTAGAAGAAGCTATTAATGATAGAACGTCCAGAGTCCTGCCAGCAGGACTTTTCGTACTACCGGTAGGACGCACTGTTTTTGGTTATATGAGGCTTTCTAGGCCTACGAGCAGGACGCAATTTACTAACATGCATAGTGCGTCTCTTTCTGATTCAGCGAGTTTTTGAATCGTGTTTCTGCGATCAGTCTGGCCAAAATGGCGGCGAGTATAACACGTGGTGTCCGCGTTCGCGTCAAAGCTACATATTTCGACGAAAATGATGGCCAGAACACCTGGAGTCGCAAACATTTGTAATAACTACGATATAAGTTATTGTTGGGGTACTGTAAGAAAGGTAGAAAACAACTATGCTAGGGTATATTGGGAAATTGACAAAAAAAAATCATTGGTGCCCGTTGGAGTTCTGACTGCTGATATCGAAAACGATAATTTATTGGAAGCAAATACCAATGAAGTAAATTGTAAGTACCTACCAATTATTATTTTATTCATAGCCTTACGTTACAATGAAAAAATAGTAGGTCGGTCGCCTGTTCGTTACCATGATTTGCATGAGTTGACAACATTTTTTTTTGAATTTAAAATTTTTGGTTCACCACAAAATTTCCTCAAATTTACAGTCGAGAACTTAGTTGACTCTGATAGTGGCTGTTTTCAATATGTATATGTAAGTGTTTTTTACGTGTTTGTGTTTGTGAGTTTGTTTGTATGTGTATATACATATATGAGTGTGGCTGTATTTGTATATATATGTGTGTGTAATTAAAAAAAAAAACAATTTTAATTTCAAGAGTGCACCGTGCACCCCTTTGCTTCTATTGCTAGGACTAATAGAGCTTTTTTTCAGCATCATCTGAATCGGATTCTTAATCTTCGAGTGAAGATGACGAGACAAATGTTTCAGTCCATCCGACTCCGCGTATGAGCAGCGTAACAAATTCTTCTGCTGGAAATACAATCGTTGTGAAGGGAGTCACCTGGACTTTTCATGAAGCAATACGTGTTGATCAGCGACAACAAGGCTATTTCAAAGCTACCCTGCTAGTACCACTGGAGCCTGCACGAAGTATCAAGGATGCATTTTTTATGGTATTTCCCAGAGAGAAACTTAATTACATAGTCCAGTGTATCAACTCTTCGTTACCCCCTAGACAGAAACTGTTGAACGAGAAGGAATTATTATTTTTTTTGGTATATTATATGCTATGACTCTTCAAGAACTGCAAGACCGAAGATCCTACTGGAATACGACCTCCGATGGAATATTTCCCCCCGCAAATTTTGGACAAAGATTTGGAATGAGTAGTCAAAGGTTTGAGATCATTCTAGTGGCCCTGCGCTTCACGCAACCGTCAGACCTTGATGATTCTGACTAATGGCATAACACCAGAACACTAGTAATGATGGTGAATAATAAACTAAAAGATACCATCCGTCCTAGTGCAAAAATAACTGTAGATGAATCCATGTTTGGCTGGTATGGAATAGGTGCGTACTTCAAAGACTACATGCCAGCAGTTATGAAAATTAAAAGAAAACCAAAAGGAGTGGGTTGTGAAGTAAAAACAGCGTGTGATAGTAATACAAACATTATGATGAGATTGGAAATTAATGAGGATAAAGAAGCAATGAGTACGAAGAAATGGCAAAGAGAATTTGGCGCTGGAACTACAACTACTTTGAGATTGACAGAGCCGTGGCATGGTTCTGGAAGAGTTATAGTTGGAGACTTATGGTTTGCTTCGGTCAAAACGGCTGTGGAAAATTCAAAGTTGGATTATATTTCATTGGACTGGTAAAGACAGCACACAGTTTCTATCCCGTGTCGGATATGGCTGCAAAGTGTCCGACGCACAAGGGGGCATTTGTTGTAAGTACAGCTGAAAAAGACTCAGTGCAGCTTATTGCCTGTGCCTGGAAAGACAAAAAAATTCATACATTTGTTGCCAATTGTGAAAAGACACTGCCAGGCCTGCCATCATGCAAAAGAAGGTGGAAACAGCAGAAAGCGAGCTATTTTTGCAAGACATGTGGTTTGCGATGTGTTTTATGCTCTCTACACACAGGAAGAAACTGCTTCACCTACCACATCACGAATAGAATTCCTGCATAACTTTTTTTAATAAATATTTTTTTCACTAAGTTCCTTTCATATTCTTGTTTATTTTTCTACCCCGTAAAATCAAGAAGCGCCCACGTCTATTCCTAGACACCTATACCAAATTACAGAATGTTTGTTACTCCTGCCTAATTTTATTACGCATGAAAGTCAAGTACTGCTAGAAGGACAGCCTCTGATATTCATAAAAAATCTACAAAATATTGCGTACTGCTAGCAGGACGCACGTCACTAGGATTGTCCTTCCGGAAGCTCCTTCCAGCAGGACTAGGGCTTGGGCGTTCTATCATTAAAGATAAAAGGCGAGGAGAGGTTACAGAATGCATGCTCCTTTTGCACAACAATGTGAACAACTGTGTGACTATTATTTGTTTCTAAAAATTAAGAAAGAACTGCATGGGAAAAAAATTGGCGGTGATGATGAAGTGAATTCGGCAACTTCCGCCTATTTTGACGCCCAAGACAAATATTTTTATTTACTGTATTAATAAGTTACTTGACAGATCTAATAAATGTATTAGGGTTAATGGAGAATACATTGAAAAGGAAAAATATTTAAATGTCTCATTTCATTATTCTTCCCTGTCATTCCGCGAACTTTTTAACCTCCCCTCGTATGAAAGTACTAAAGGATATTGAAAAATCAACTTCGTTGCTGTTCCGGTTACAGTCACTGCTGAACATAGACCTGTCTACCATACTTGGTAGGCTGGCTGGCAACCGCAGTTTTTTATTTATTAGTTCTTATTGGGAAGACCATAGAACACCATAATACACAATAGAATGGCTGTCAACCTTATTTTGTACGGGGATTGGCGTCGCCGGGAGCACACATGCAAGCAATTACGTCGTATTATTACTACTACAAACCCAATTCTTTGTGTTGACAGACTGAGCGAATTTACACATTTTAGACTTTCGATTAATGTCAAGATGATCGTTAAAAAAATCTTTGAAATTTTAATAGATATTTGTTTGTAAATATTGTGCAACCTAATCGTAAATACAATCGCAGTAAGTATAATTTTTTTCTTATTGTAAATAAAAAAGTTAGTAATAAGAACACGTTTACGATGCGTACCATCATGTTAGTCCGTGCATTTAAGCAAAATGTAGTATATAATGGTAACACCGCTAGGGATGTAGTCTTTAAACTTAAGTGTATTTATTTTGAAATATTTCAATAATATTTTCTGTAATTAACTTACAATACTAAAATTTAATTACTTAAAATACTAAAGTATTTTACTTTGTAAAAATGCAATGAAAACAATGTTTTGTATGTTCCAAATACTACACGATGCTTTGTAAATTTTGCGATTAAAAAATCCAAAATTTTATTTCAAGAAATAAAAGACAAAAACGTAATTTTCTGCTAAAATGTAAATAAAAGATATAAATAGAGTTGTTCAGAATCATGTGTATGACAAATCCATACTTTATACTATTGTAACGCGAATGTCTGTCTCAAGATTTTCTTGCTTAACCGCTGAATCTATTATACAAAATTGAGATAGGTTAAATCTTGGTTAAACCAAAAAAGTACACAGCTAAGTAGGCTGTAAAGCCTACTTTAATTTATTCGTTATTAGCCGTTAAACCGCCAATTTGAATAAAAACGGTGAAATGGGTATAAAACTTTGTGTAGAAAATGCTAAGCCATTCAACCGATTTTGACGAGATTTGGTAATTTGATGGTAAAAACAAAAAGGTTAGGTAAACTTTTATCCTAAAAGAGATAGCGTGATATGACTGAATTCCACGTGGAAGAAAACGTATTCGTATACCCCTTTAAATTAGTATTTCTTTATTATTTGTTATCTTTGAAACCTGTTGGCCTGTTTATCTACGTTAGTTAACATACACAAATTGCAATAGTTTACTATGAATACAAAAGTAACTAAAACTAAATGTTGATCTATTAAGAAGGTACTTACTTTCTTAAATAAATAATATCGTATTTACTGAATAATAAAATTTATTCAAAGTTATGGAATGGTAATATTTATTAAAAGCTTACTAGGCCGTAACAATTTAACCCATCCGTAATCATTAATCGATCGAGTTTGTATGTCCACTATATATTATTTAAGTCCGGATCTCCAGGAAAACTGCAAAAATGGTTTATGGAAATAAAAAATATCAATAGTAGTAAATAGTACAGTGTAGGTAAGCCAAAGCCAACACAAGGCAAGCGCGAAATCGGATGAAAAAGTATGAACATATATATATTTTTTAGTTTTAACACAAAATGGGTCCACTCAACCATTTATGGGTAATGAAGCGTGAGATGAATATATTGTATATAAGTAAAAGTAAAAGTTACAGCTTATATACGTCCCACTGCTGGGCACAGGCGTCCTCTCATTTCCGAGAGGGTTTTTGGGCAAGGATGTGTCCGCCGAGCTGCCCCAATGCGTGTCGACGAACTGCGCATGTCTTCGAAATATTTAATTTTTATTCTCAGATATATAGGTTTCCTCACGATGTTTTCCTTTACCGCCGAGCACGTGGTAAATCAGCACTTAAAATTGCAATTAACAATTTCATTGATGCCGGCGGGGATCGAACCCGGGTTGCTCGCGTACTGTGAAATTTACAGCGAGCGCTAACCATCTGAGCTCTCATATACCACGGCTCTCATATATAGTATATACTATATAGTAATGATACGTAGCCAGAAGATCGAATCTAAAAACTTTATTGAAAATTTTTAATGTTATCCTGTAGAGGGAACAAATTATTTACAATTCGATAAAAAATAGTAAAATTGAGTTTATTCGTAGGTCATTAGTAATATTATGTTTTATCCTATCTATTTAGCTTTTCATTAAGCCAAGTACAAATTTAAAAGCGACAATATTTTGAGGCTTATTGGTATCGGTAAAAATTTTTTACATCTCTAGTGCTTCCAATATCTGTTGTTTTTGACACATCAATATTTCTTATTAGTAACGTCAAAAGAGATGTGTTGACATTTATGCGTGTGAATTGATATGTAAGTGTCATATGAGCGGCTACACGGGCTCCGCCCACTCCTCCGTTCTATTGTATATATATATATTATATATATATATATATATATATTTTTTTTTATATTATAGTATTCTATGGGGAAGACGCTGCTACCGATCTCCTGGTCTGTTTCCTTCTGTAGCCTCTTACGACACCTATGGTAATGTTACGAGCTTGAGGTTCGTGACAATAAAAACTGCCGACTGAATTACGAAAATTTACACTGTTATTACCGAACACCAATTAAAACTTAAAAGACACTAATAATTAATCACACTGATTCACTTTATTTCTCTCCGAAGCTTCGCTTGTCTCGCCAAATTCAATACTTCCCCGATAGCGGGTTGCGGCGGCTTTAAATACACCTTTTACACCGAAACATCCAGAATATTCCAGTAAATACGGGCACCGAACGACCAGACGCAGAAAGTTCGAGTGTGGGGCTTCTAGAAAGCTTAATTCTTTTGTTCGATACTAGATGGCGCTGTTGGTTGAAAGTTCAAGGTTGACATTTTCTAGGAAGCCCTCCTCACTCTGGTCCCCGACACTAGAAGGCGCTAGTGCCAGGTACCTGACGTCAACTTAGGCACGCAACAGTATGATATGGGGTAGTGGATATTTCTCATTGTCTGTTATTCACTCCTTCAGAGCTCTTCATACCTGGTTCGTTGCAGTTGAATATTTTTTAATAATAAATTGCGTATTTTGCAGAATAAGTATGGTGTGGTTTGCGCAAAAGGCTACTGCGTTGGTGTGTGGAAGGCTGCAGACGACAAGTCGTATTGTCTATGGGATCCTCACGCCGTGGGCCCCACCGGCAAGTTCTCTCCTGGGGGAGCTGCCGCCTTAGTTCTATTTTCTACTGTAGATCAACTGGCTGAAACCATCAAGAAAAATGTGGAAATGCTCGAGAGGCCCGGAATTAACAGGTAGATCACAAATGATATACTCGTATTTTTCAAATATTTCTTGTAACTAATGGCAGCGTAAGAGCCAAACGCAGGAATCCTAACCGTTCAGGATTCGATCCCAGTTGCCGGCTACTAAATGTATTTTTTTATAGGACAGGGTGACAAACGAGCACGAGGTCCACCTGATGGTAAGTGATTGCTGTGGCCCGTAGACATCTACATCTATCCTCGATTACGAATTAAAATTGAGATGCGTTGTCACCCGTAAGAACTAAGATGGAATGCCTGTTTTCCTGTAAAAAGGATCTCCGGTTCTCTACACTCACCATACAAAACACAACAGCATTACGCTGATCTTCTGTGAGAGCGTGGTCCTTCCCCGGTCGAGCCGACCCATTCGTGCTACAACTATACTACTTATATATAACTGCAGCATGGCTCTACCACGTATAAAAAAATGCCACGCTGGCTGTTAAAAAAATGTACATTTTTGAAAAACATTTAAGACCGTGAGACGGACTCTAATATTTATTATGGTAATAGGGTATTACACCCAATTTCAAAAAGTATTTTAAATGAATCCTAGAGTGATAATGAACCACTATAATGTTTATATAATTTTTTTAAACCGAATCGTGTCATAAAAATTACTTTAATTTATCGTTTTAAATTTTCTCGTGAAATCGCTAGCCGCCATACTGTTCTACTCGTGACGTTACTGTCCTAGAATTTTGCCTATTTCGCAAAGGAATAAGATACTGTTTAATAATGAGTTATCATCAATATCATTGTTGTGTTGTGCCTGAATGCAAAACAACGAGAATAAGAACGCCGGGAAAGTTATGGATTCAAGTGCCAACTGATTTAAATATAAGAAATACTTGGTTAAAACTGGCTAGAAGATACCCGAATACATTGTCTACAAAAACTAGACTTTTCTTTTGTGAAGATCTTTTTGATGTACGTATGACTTATATTTAACTATCGTTTACACAAAATAAAACATCATGAAGTGAAGGGTATCGTAAGTCAAATTTTTTTATACGTTAACTTAGATATTGTAACTTATGATTGCTTATGATTGTAATTATAGATAAACTAAAATTTGATAGCTACTAAACTATTGTTATGCGCCAAAGTCGACGGCACTAGCGCCATCTAGTGTCGAACCGAAGAACTAAACTTCTTGAAGTCGAAACACGAACTCTCGGTACCTTGCGCGTGTTTACTTGAATATTCTGGATATTTCGCTGCTAATTTATATAAATAGGCGCTGCATGATGCGATCGGGAAGTATTGGATTTGGCGAGTCAAGCGAAGCTTCGGAGCGGAATAAAGTGAATCAGTGTGTTTAATTATTAGTGTTTTAAGTTTTAATTTGTGTAAAGTAAATTAAAGTGTTAATTTAGGTAATTTTATCGGCAATTTTTATTGTCACGAGCCTCAAGCTCGTAACAGATTGGTGTCAGAAGTGGGATAAAATCATGCCGATTTTACCTAAGGAGGAAACGGAGGGTGTCCGTACCCGAAGTCAACGCCAACAGGAGACGGACCAAAGAAGAATTGGTGGTGCAACGCCGCAGACGTCGGAGGGCCAGCCGCCGGCTGCAGGCCCGTCAGTAGCTCCTACATCTGCAGCACCTAACTTAGGTGCTCTGATGGTGATGCTGCAGGAGCAGGCTCGCCGACAGGAGGAGCAGGCCAGTTGGTTGAAAGAGCAGCAGGAGGAACAGGCCCGCCGACAGGAAGAGCAGATGCTCCTCGTGAAGGACATTCACGCTAACTTCGGGAAAGAGATAAGGGAGGTGAAGGATAGGGTTGCTCAACATGACAACCGCCTGTCGGAAGCCGAAACCCAAATCAAGGAAGCTAAAACCCAAATCGACCAAGTGAACAATCGGGTTGATTACGTGATGGCTGACGTGAAGAAAACGCTGGATAACCTTAAACTGGGGGACGGAATTACAGCTCCCGTAGTAGCCACAACACCTTCGCTACGTGGGTTCAAGGTGCCACCGTTCGACGGGACTTCTTCCTGGTCAGCCTACAAAATCCAGTTCGAGGCTGTTATGAAAGCACTCACACTAGGCCTGCGCGACCAGGCCTTAACAGTTCTGGAAGCTCTCGGTGAGGAAGTGACTTATGAGCAACTCCTTGAGGCATTGGAGGCGAGATATGGCGACGCTCACCTGGAACACGTCTTTCGTGCGCAGCTTAAAGATCGCGTGCAGCGCATCAACGAAAACCTGCAGCAGTGGGCTCTAGAGGTGGAGAAGCTGGTGCGAAAAGCATACCGGTCTGTACCTGCGCTCATTGAAGGGAACCTGGTGCAGACATTCATCGACGGCATCCGCGACCTGGAAGTCAGAGCTGCTGTGAGGCTCGGGCACCACGAGACGCTTAAGGACGCCTTGGCCCATGCACTGGAGGTGGAAGCCGTGCGACAGGATCATCGTTCCCATCGCGTCAGGGAGGTTGCAGCAGCTACAGTTCGCGACCGCAACAAAGGATACAGCCCTAGGTGCTATGGCTGTGGGGAAAAGGGCCACCTTCGATCCAGCTGCCCTAAGCGAACCGCAGAAAGGGAAAGTGAATGATATCAGGAGGGTAGTGCAGCTAACGGCAATGCCTGGCGGCGACAGGATCATCGTTCACCTCTCGGTAGGGAGGTTGCAGCAGTTACGGTTCGCGACCACAATAAAGGATATAGCCCTAGGTGCTATGGCTGTGGGGAAAGGGGCCATCTTCGGTCCAGCTGTCCTAAGCACACCCTAGGAAGGGAAGGTGAACGGTCTCAGAAAGGAAGTGCGGCTAACAGCACCGCTCAGCAGCAGCAGGAATACGACTTTACTATCAGACACTGCAGCGGGAAATCTCACGGCAACGCAGATGCATTGTCAATAAGACCTTGTCCTGAAGATTGCAACCATTGTAGTAGGCAAGGTAAGGAAGTGGTATCCGTGAGGATGCTCAGGACAAACCACCTCAGCAACAAGACATCAAGCCGATTCTGGGATGGATGAAGGCCCGTGCTACCAAGCCTAAGTGGAGGGACGTCTCAGCGATGAGTTCAACCACGAAAAGCTTTTGGGCCCAATGGGACAGCTTGCTGCTTCAGGATGGAGTCCTGTGCCGTAAATGGGACAATGGTCGAGGAGACAGCTGTAGTTTGCAAATGGTTGTCCCTAAAGCTAAAGTGCCGAATGTTCTACAGCTGTGCCATAATGGTCGTTCAAGAGTCCATCTGGGAGTTAAACGAACTTTACTGAAGGTTCGAGAACAGTTTTACTGGGTCCATTATCGTGACGATGTCGAGGATTGGTGTCGTATATGTACAAGTTGTGCGGCTGTGAGGGGACCTCAGACACGGAGTAGAGGAGCATCGAAATTGTACAATGTTGGTGCACCACGGGATAGGACATCCCTTGACATTGCGGAGCCGTTACAGAAAGGCGCAAAGGGGACTCCTAAGATCGCCCATGTGGATCGCTTGGCGCGTTATTATGGGTCCGATAATGCTCGGGATGAGCATGTCTTAGGAGGGGGCAGTGTTACGCGCCAAAGTCGACGGCACTAGCGCCATCTAGTGTCAAACCCAAGAACTAAACTTCTTGCAGTCGAAACATGAACTCTCGGTACCTTGCGCGTGTTTACTTGAATATTCTGGATATTTCGCTGCTAATTTATAAAAATAGGCGCTGCAAGATGCGATCGGGAAGTGTTGATTTGGCGAGACAAGCGAAGCTTCGGAGCGGAATTAAGTGAATCAGTGTGATTAATTATTAGTGTTTTTAACTTTAATTAGTGTAAAGGGAATTAAAGTGTTAATTTAGGTAATTCTATCGGCAATTTTTATTGTCACGAACCTCAAGCTCATAACACTATGTTTTATCAAAATACACCCTGACCCGGTATTGTGTTTTTGTATAAACAAAAGTTGGTAATAGGTACTTACATTGATGTTTTAACATTCCTCAACTCAGAAGAACAAAATTTTTTTCCACCATCAATTGTAGATGCAATATGTAGATTAGTAATTTCTGCTTTTACAAATTCGTCTTCCATGACGTTTTCAATAAAATTTGGAATAAAACTCATTAATCGTTATGATACCTTGAAAATTTGGAAATAACACAGTTCATTAGCTAGTTCTCTTAAATCAGTGACACAGAACACTAATACCCTTAGGCAGGATCAGTGATATCACGACAGTATCTAATACCTATGCGTTTTGCAGATTCCAGGCACAGACGAAAAAAATATGAAATATAAAATTTAAAATGCAATTTTATAAATAGAAATCAATATTTTTAGTTTACTTTTTACAAAATCTATATATATATATATATATATATATATATATATATATTTTTTTTTACATGGTGTAAAATACCCTATTATCATTATTGTCATCTGCCTACTTAAATCCAACGTGGATTTCTTTCATATGATACCCCAAAGGTATCTTCGGTTCTAGCCACACTCCACACGAAACACAAAAGAATTAAGTTACTTCTTTACGCTGGTAATCTGTGGGGGCGACTCCGGTAGAGTTATCCCATTCGTTCTAGAGGAGACCTGTGCACAGGAGTGGGACGTTTAGTACAGGTCTGTAACTTTACTATTTAACTTCATCGTTCTTATTATAATTTTCACTAGGTATTCCATATCGTCGGTAAAAGTGTTCTGGGAGTTCTCTCAGACAGCAGGGCCAGTGACTCCGCAGGGCACCGTACCAGATGAGGGTTACGAGTGGAAAGTATTGACGGCGTACGTGGAAACGGCTCGTGGCAGAACTATACTGAGAGGAACTAGGCCACCAGATTTGGTTAAGTAAGTAGTTCATATATTTGATTTCGTTCATTCTATGATTTAAGTTTTAATTACGTGATAGATTAGTATATACCTAGTCACGTCATAAGTATTGTCACACAGTAAAAAATTTTATTTTAGAATGCTGGCCACAAAAAAGTTTATTGAATTCGAATTTCGAATTGTTCATGAAAATAAAACTGCATACTTTTTAGAATTTTACTCATTTTTAAATATGGAGTGGACGCTTAAAGAAGACCGTGTTGCAGTTATTGCGTTGCGGTTACGTTGCGGTTACGCGCCAATTCAAATTTTTGACATACTGAAAAATTTGAATATAATCAAAAGATTCGTTTATCGTACCATCAAACGATACAATGAAGACTCTAGTGTAGATGACAGGTCAAGAAGTGGTCGCCCTCGGTCTGTTAGGACTCCAGCAGTGATAAAAGCTGTGAAGGCGCGAATTCAAAGAAATCCCAAACGTAAGCAGAAACTGTTGACCCTTCAGATGGGGTTAAGCAGAACCACGATGAAAAGGGTGTTAAATGAAGACTTAGGGCTTCGGGCATATCGAAGAAAAACAGGAAATCGTTTGAATGTTCGTCTAATGGACCTGAGACTGAAGAGATGCCGCGCTTTGTTGAAGCGATACGCGGGAAAAAATATCGGGAAATTCTTTTTTCGGATGAAAAAATTTTTTACCGTAGAAGAGAGCTACAACAAACAAAATGATAAGATGTACGCACACAGTAGTGAAGAAGCGAGCAACCGTATTCCGCGTGTCCAACGAGGTCATTTTCCATCCTCGTTCATGGTATGGTTGGGAGTTTCTTATTGGGGCTTAACAGAGGTACATTTTTGTGAGAAAGGTGTAAAAACGAATGCAGTTGTGTATCAAAATACAGTCCTGACGAATCTTGTGGAACCTGTTTCTCATACCATGTTCAATAACAGGCACTGGGTATTCCAACAAGATTCGGCGCCAGCTCATAGAGCGAAGAGCACACATGACTGGCTGGCGGCGCGTGAAATCGACTTCATCCGGCACGAAGACTGGCCCTCCTCCAGTCCAGATTTGAATCCGTTAGATTACAAGATATGGCAACACTTGGAGGAAAAGGCGTGCTCAAAGCCTCATCCCAATTTGGAGTTACTCAAGACATCCTTGATTAAGGCAGCCGCCGATATTGACATGGACCTCGTTCGTGCTGCGATAGACGACTGGCCGCGCAGATTGAAGGCCTGTATTCAAAATCACGGAGGTCATTTTGAATAAACTATAGTGTCATAAGAATCTATGTTTTGTTAAGTTCAATTTGGTATATAAATGGTTACATAATGAATAAACTTGTTTCAATTATTTTATATTAAACATGTGACAGAATTTATGACCTAACTAGGTACTAGGATAGAGGTAAATTAGAAAAAATAACACAATCACACTCTTAGCGATGAGCACAGAAAGTGGTATCTCAGGGACTTGGCGAAGACAAAAAAAAATGATGAATAAATTATCTTCTCTCTGGATTATAACACCGGAACATATATTTGGGGCCATCTATAAATTACGTCACACAAATATTATGGTAATTAAATTAAAACAGTAGTTTATCCATTTTTTTTTTATTTAAATTAAAATAATATTTAATAAAATCAAAATAAAGTCAAATATTTTAAAATAATGGACAAAACAAAAGACCAATTAAAGAATCGTTCAACGAATAAAATATACAAAACTTATTCATCTTGATTCCACGGACTTTGGCCCACTCCTTGATATTGTTTATCACATGTAACATATACGGCATATAAATTTTGTGTTTTAGTATTTAAGATTTTAACATATGACGTCACATAGCTTCTAACCCTGTGTCCCTGTCCTTTTTTTACGATACAATATAAATTAACTACCACTATGTTATGTTTTGATGTTTCCCATAAATTAATAATTTAAAATAAGAAACCTCCTAAAATTACAAAAAAACTTTCCATTTATACCGCCCATTTTAGAAATCTAGCAAACGGACATAACGAACATGAAAAATAAAGGAAAATCGTACTGACATAGCCACAATCATTCTTTGTTTAAATATTAAACTGATGGAAAAACAGATGCTGGCAAATCATTCCACTCCTGAGCTGTTCATATGACGAACGACTAAGCAAACCGTTTAGCTCGAATGCGTGATATATCAAAAACAAAAGTTTCACCCTATGACTGGCTGAACATTTATTTGTCCCATGGTGAATGGGATGGAAATGTATACTGTAAAACATCGTATGACTGGCTATTTTGCGCCTGTGCACGAGACTGGTAAGGTTGGCTTTAATAAGATTCAGGTCACCAATATGCTTCTCGGCATACCTTTTTATTGAGCCTAAAGCTGCTAGGTGAAATTTTGCTGCACCAGCCCTTATAAGGCAGCAATATTCCATGCACGACTGGAATTGCGCTAGTGTAAGCAGCTGTCCCGGCCTGAAATACCTTTGCACGGTCACCTAATGTCCTTGCAGGTGCTTCATCTCTGAGCTCAATGAATCGTCCAAAGTTCTTGTGACGGAGTAGTCTCATGCTCCAACAACAGAAAGCAGTCAGTGTACTGCGACGATACATTTTGGAAAGTAGAAATCAAAGTGAGCTGAATCCTTTTTGCGGGGAAGAGATACGCTTGTGTATTGGAGACGTTGAATCTCACAAGATTAGCCTCGTTACATTCGCGGAGGCTGCCTGCAGCGAAAGTTTCACACGCTCGAACATACAGCCTCTCAATTGGACTTGACTTGATCCAGACTAAACTCGGCTTATATCTTTCTATAGCTGTGTATCTGTGTGTAGTGAGTAGGTCATTTATAGGCAGCAAGAAGAGAGTTGCTGAGAGCGGACCCCCGAAGAACTGCGTCATTAGTCAGCATAGGCCCGGAAAAGCAGCCATCGACAGTATTGTTCCTAAAAAAAAATTACAGGTGAAATGAATACCAGTGCGATTTAACGAACCAGAATTGTTGCGCGATTACGCATAAACTTTTTATAATTAATTTTAAGATCATCATAATTTAGCAACTTAAAAATTAACATGGGTCTGCTCCATAAATAGCCATAAAACATTATCAGTTTGTTTTAACTTCCCTCCCTGTATATCTCATCAAGTCATTTCACCATCTAATGGGTGTTCTCCCTATTGTGTGAGCTGAGCGGCTGTTCAATATTCTCCTAAAAAATGTGAGTAGACTTGTTTCCAGCAGTATTATGAATATAGACCCTTACTTTGCTTTATTATCACAGGTTCAGTCGTGACGCGATACTCCAATCAGCTTGCGGCGCTATAGCGGGCGCTTGTATGTCACACATACGTCGCCCGCCTCTGTGGACGCGTCGCACCGTTGACGAAGTGATGGCCATCGGCAGTCAGCTTTTTACTGCCTCGCTTTCCTCTCTCGGATATGAATTTCGGCCCGGAGAAGACGTTTTACTACCCCTGCAGGTCAGCTAGAACTTTCTTTTCACGAAGACAAATTATTTATGATAATGTTGAGGTGTGAGTGGGCGGCATAAATTTTAAGGCCCTGAATTGAATTTGATGACTTCGTAGCAGTGGCTTATCGTTTTGTGTCAGCGCTAGTTCGGATTTCGCACGGAACAAGTGTTTGTATGTTTTCAAATATTTGTTTTGAGGCCGGATGGTTCATCATTTGCAATTTATGTATGTAAATCACTTCTGTGATACAGAAGAATTTCTTAGTGTGGGAGTTAGAGTTAGAGCTTAGTTTCGTTTTGTTTCAATATTTATTTTAGAAAAAGTTCTACGTTGCATATTATTCATTAGTCGATGACACCATAGAAAATAATTGCGGAAGGCTCCGTCTTGTACTCTAAAGCTTCCACTTACTTCACTCTCTACTAGTTGTGTGCTATAATTTTCATCTTGTGTAAGACAATGCATTATCAGTTATTAAATATAATAACTACGAAAGACAGGACGGGGAGATACTTTGAAGACATGTAAAGTCCGCCAGCACGCATTGCAGCAACTCGGTGGATATTTCTTGGCCCTAGAATGCTCAGAAATGAGAAGAAGCCTGTGCTCAGAGTGAGACATGTACAGGCAATACTTTCCTACAAAGGACAATTTACACGCATGAATGCAAACCTGAGTCTATATATACATATGGACTCCTATGTATGATTTGGTTTTATGTGCACAGTTTATTCGGATACTTGAAAAGATTTTACTTCATCGCTACTTGCATACAGTGACTGATGAAGTAAAAACTTAATTTATATTTCTTATTTCAATTTGTGGAAATAGGCTGTAGCTGTATTATGGCTGCTGCAGCTTATTGAACTTAATCGAGGAAGGATTTCAGCGAAAAATGGAAATTTAATACTGCTGTGTTTCGTATTGTGAGTGTGGAGATTCGGAAACTCTTTTTTACTGGAAACGAGGTATTCCATTTTGATTCTTAATCGAGGATAAATGTAAAGATCTATTGTGTGGCCCATAGACATCCACTTACCATCAGGTGGACTGTGTGTTCGTTTGTCACCCTTACTCTATAAAAAAAGGATTAGGTCTCAAGAAGACCAGCTCAAATAGCAGTATATTGCTGCTGTGTTCCTTATGGTAAGCGCAGAAAATAATCGATAATCCGTTTTAATGGAAACAAGGCATTCCACATTAGCACTTAGCGGCAACAAAGCGTCTGGATATTGATCCTCCAACAGGGAATCTGTGGTACCACGGTGGAAGTTGTCTATGGGTCACGTCATCCATTTACCATCAGGTGTGTTGTGTGCTTGAATGTCACTCTTAAAAATATAAATGATGTTGAGATTCTAAACACTTAATATTGGGAATCGTTAAAATGAAATGTATAGATAATTTAGGTGTTTTCATTTTAAATATGTCTTAAAGAAAATATTTTCCAGGTCTTGAAACGATTTTTACTTGGCGTAAATTACGTCCGATACGACTTGCAATCCGTATACTCTGGTAAACTTGAACAGAAAGAGCCTACGGAAATGACAGTGAGGTAAAATAACGTTAAATCCACCCATAGTCTTAGACATTACGTAAATGGATAATAAGCCTTTTGTTTATGAATACTAGTGTTGCCCTAAATCGGTCTTGGTCTTGCAGTCTTGGTCTTGTTCTTACATTTTTGCAAGACCAAGACCAAGATACTGACCCTGCAAGATTTGAGCAAGAACAAGACTAAGCCTGCGAGACTCTTGCGTCTTGCAGTTAGGAATGAGTGTCGTTTCAGGGAGTATAGGAGTTCGGGTATACGCTTAGGGACTCTATGAGAAGCAAAAAATATATTAAAAAAATTGGAAAATTGGACTTATGCGCATTACGAACAATACCATAAACATTCATAGCGGATGAAAATATCCATTAAAAGAAAAAACAGTGCATCCCTAGTTTTGACCATCGGCACTTTGATAGTGCGCGACGTCTTGTTGTCGGCATCATCAAAGGTCGAATACTGACCTGTCAAAGAAATTTTGCAGCTATTCGGAAGTAGAAGGTCAAGAGTACACGCGCCGGCGGCTTCTATTGATATCACATTCAATCGTCGCCGCCGCGCCGCACGCACTACATTTGACACTGTTTGAATGCCGCCACAGAGTACATGTTCCAAAGAATAAAATAAGATTCCGGGTGCTCGGAATGGATACGAATACATTATGCTGATCTCGCAAGGAATATTGTAATTAGATAATGGTAAGGATAGGTAGATACCATAATAATTTATTCTAGTAAGTAATTATTATAATATTAACTATATGGGTTTATAATAATTACTTACTATTATTATTATTACCTAATAGATAAACATGTTCAATAAGTTCACTGCAAATCTCGATTTTTGGAAGCGTGTGTTTTTGAACACAAAGTTTTCGAATATGTCGTCACCCATTTGATAAATATTGTAGACACTTTTAACACACTTGAAACGCGTAAACATTTTGTACAATGCTAATCGAATAATATAAAAAGTGTTCATATTAAATCATCATTCTCTAAACCATTTCCCATTATCTGGGGTCGGCGCAGTAAATCTTCTTGTTCCATTCCTCTCTATCAGCCGTCATTTCCATGCTTACTCCTTTCATTCTCATATCACTCTTCACACAATCGATCCATCTTTTATTCGGCCTTCCTTTGCCCGTGTGTCCCTCCACATTCATATTCAACACTCGTTTTGTGACATGACTTTCATCCCTCCGCATCACATGCCCAAACCATGCCAATCTGCTTCCTCTCACCTTTTCTACCACTGGCCCTACTTTCAGGCTTCCTCTTATATACTCATTCCTTATCTTATCCATCCTTGTCACACCACACGTCCATAGTAACATTCTCATTTCATTCGCATGCAATCTATTTTCATCCTTCTTCTTGACGGCCCAGCATTCACTTCCATACATGACGACAGGTCGGATGGTCGATTTGTAAATTTTCCCCTTCAGCCTTATTGGCATTCGGGGATCGCACTTTGTGGCTGTGACCTGTCGCCATTTCATCCACCCTGCGTTAATCCTATGCTGCACAGCTCTATCTATTTTGCCGTCGCCTTGAATGAGGGAACCGAGGTACTTGAAATCTGAGCAGGTAGGCAGTATAGCGCCATCCAACGACATGGGTACAGGACTGAAATGACCGTCGAAATCACAGCACAGATATTCGGTTTTGGATCTGCTGATCTTCAAGCCAACACTTTCCAGCCTCTGTTGCCACCCCGTCAGTCTGCTCTGTACCTCGATGCCCTCTTCCCCGACAAGCACGATGTCATCGGCAAAGAGCATGCACCAGGGTGCCTCATCCTGCAGGTCCGACGTCAAAGCGTCCATAATCAGTAGGAAGAGGTAAGGGCTCAATGCCGACCCTTGGTGCAGCCCTACAGCCACACCGATACTGCCCGTAGTTCCCGCGGCAGATCGTACACATGTACGGGATGCTCTGTACATAGCACGGACTAACCTCACATACTTCCCAGACATACCTTTCATCTTTAACGCCCACCACAAAACCTCACGGGGAACCCGATCGTACGCCTTTTCAAGGGCGACAAAAACCATGTGCAGATTTTTATGCACGCGCTTGTACTTTTCGCACAATTGGCGTAATGCGAAAATGGCATCTGTCGTACCTCGACCGGGCATGAATCTGAACTGGTTTTGTGTTATCTCACACTCTTCTCTCATTCTTCTCTCCCATTCTATTATTCTTTCCCAGACTTTCATCGTGTGTGACATGAGTTTTATTCCCCGGTAACTGCTGCAGTTTTGAACGTCTCCTTTGTTTTTAAAAATGGGGACCAGTATACTACTGCACCATTCCTCAGGTATTTGTTCTTCCTGCAACAATTTACGGAAAAATAAACTCAACCACTTCCATCCATCCGCACTCAGCAACTTCCACACTTCTACTGGTATTCCATCTGGGCCGACCGCCTTCCTATTCTTCCCATTCATATTCCTAACAGCCATTTTTACTTCTTCCACACTAATTTCTCTCACTAAGCCCATATTCACTGGTGGGTTTTCAAGCATACCATTCCATTCATTCTCCTCATTCATCAATTTCTCAAAATACTCCTTCCATCGCTTCTTTATACTTTCATCGTCAGTCAAAATCCTTCCAGAATCATCTTTTATACATTTTACATGTGAAACATCTCTTCCATTCCTTTCTCTCGCTCTTGCAATTTGAAAAAGTCGTTTTTGACCTCCGGGGCTTTCAAGGGACCGATATAATTTATCTTGCGCCTCTGCCCTACAAATAGCAACTTCCTTCTTCGCTCTCTTCTTACATTCTTTATACGCCCCTCTCTTACTTTCTTTTATGGATTCATTCTGGTCTTCTAAGCTCTACCATTCTTTAAAGGCATTTTTCTTTTCTCTCAAAACTTCTCTAATACTTTCACTCTACCACCACCCATCCTTATCTATCATACGCTTCCCTTTTGTTTCTCCTAACAACTTCCTTGCCACACTTCGGATACAATCAGCCATTTCCTTCCAGCACTCATTTACACTCATTCCTTCCATATCACCCGTCTCTATCATCTTGTTTACAACTAGCTCTCTAAATTCACTTGCATACTACTCCTTATGCAACAAATGCCACTTTATTTTGGGTAAAAAGTGTAAAATAAGATCTATTTACTTTTTAGGAGCCCGAGTATTTCTTAGAGAACCGTTTAAAGAAATTGATTGCATCGAATTGATGTAAATAATAGTGATTTGCACAATATTAATAGTAGAAATAAAAATAAAATCACAATACCTGCTTTCCGGTAACACAAAGTACATAATGCGTTCTTGGGTAGCGATATACGCTTTTATAATAAGATTCCAAAAGAAATGTTAGATCTTTGACCTTTTCAATTTAAGTCAGACAAAAATGCTTGGAACTGACCTCTCGTACTACACAGGACTAACTAGAAATGTCTAAACCGATTTGGTACTAATATAATTACAGCTTTACATAATTATAGAACTATTGTAAAAATATTTTGAAAAGAGCAACTACTGAGTTTCTTACTTTCTACTATGATTCTTCTCCGTAGAATCAGAACCCCTGGACATGGAAAAGAAAAAATTGGGGAAAACATTGATTATATGACTATTCAAAAGTGTATTTTTAATGCCTACTTGAATAAAACATATTTGAATTTTGAATTTCAAACGAGTGAAGGCAAATTTAATTTAATTAACGTAGATTAATTCAATCACAAGAAGAACATAATATACGCAATTTTATTTACATATTTACATTTCATTTTTACGTAGGCACACTATACCTATCTGGCAACGCATCTACTTTATTAATCTTCTCAAAGGATGCCGAACTTTCCTTTGTGTTGTAGTAGTATTTATTTTAATTCCAGTCATTCTCAATTGAGCTTTGCTTCGAGTCTAATATATTAATTGCTTTTACTCTAATCCTTGTTGTTCTCGGAGTGATAAGTTTACAATTTGACATGAGTGACGAAGAGTCGAATCGTTCTAGTCGGAGTAGTGAGAGTTGGAGTTATAGATCTAAAAGACCTAAAAGTAATTTTGATGAGTTTTTCGACATAATTCATGCATCCCAAATTGCTTTGTGTAAATTATGCCAAAATAAAAAAGTTGAAATAAAAATGAAAAACAAAAACACTTCAGGCTTAAGGAAGCATCTAATATCTTTCCACAAAAAGGAATCACAAATATTTTTTCCTGAAAAACCAAAGTTAAGTGGAGATATCACAAGCTTTTAATAACCACCGGAAAAGTGGACAGGTAAGAAAAAATATACTTATCACATAATTATATAACACATATATTATGTAACTAGCGGCCGCCTGCGACTTCGTCCGCGTACACTATCTGATTTCCTGTGAGATTTTGAAATTTTCTCGCTGCAAAAGTCTTACCTAAGTATAAAGAGGCTATATAGTTAAAGCTTAACTATGCAAGTATTTATTATTTAAAACTAATAAAGTAAATGTCGATCTTCATATCCATACTTTAAAAATATAGGACTTGCATGTAACCATTTTACCCCAATTTCACCCCCTTAGGGTTAGGATTTCGTAAAACAGCTTATTCAAGATTTTATTATTGAAAACTTATAACTTTAATGCCGATTTTCGTGTCTCTAACTTCAAAAACCGTTTGTGCAGTGACAACATCACGACAGCTACAGTCGATTGGATGGTTAAATAATATCTTCCCTTCTCATTTTTCGATGACGAAGCTACACAAATATATTTTCGATCAATTTGCTCAAATATGGTGTTTCCTAAAAAGGTCCAAACTTAGAAGGAAGGTCAAAGAATGGTTTGAAGAGCTTCAATTGAATCTTAAGAAACGACTACAACAATTTTCATCTAAAAAGTCATTTACCATTGATGGATGGACGTCAATTGCTAGTAGGAGTTACTACGGGGTCACTATTCATTATATAGACAGCGAATGGAAGTATCGATCTGTAGTCCTTGATATTATACCATCACGCGGTCGACATACTGGGAAAGATATTGCAACGATTTTCCACGAATGTTTATTGGAATATGACATAATTGATAAAATACAGGGTATCACGGTCGACAACGCAACTGCAAATACCAAATTTATGTATGAATTGGACAAACAGCTGCCACACTTTGATTCAGACAATCAACATTTCCGGTGCTTTGCTCACATTTTGAACCTTGGTGTACAAGATTTATTAAAAACCTTAGCATTACACAGTGAAACTGACAATAAGGGACAAGAACAGCAGTATGAAGATAATGAAGAAGAAACTGAGGAAGATGAAGAATATGCGCCAAATATTGCTGACTAACGTACAGCTATAACAAAATTACGCAGTATTTCCAGTAAAATAAAAAGAAGTGAGATATTGAAGAGGAAGTTTCAGTCTGCTTGTGAAGCAGCTGGCGTGCCATCAAATCTGAACCCCATACTCGACTGTCCAACGAGATGGAATTCCACACATGATATGATTGGATTTGGTTTAAAAGTGAGAACCGGCATTAACATATTGTGCACTTCTGTCACCGAATTGAATAATTTTCAAATCACAGATAGTGAATGGCAAATACTCGAAAAAATACATAAGTTTCTAATAAACTTTAAACTTCTATCAACGAAACTTGGTGGAGAAAAATATGTTACATTACCGCTAGTCATTGTGTCATTCAATCTCTTGCTCGATAAAATTGAATCCATGGTAAAACAATTAGATGAGAAACCTAATCGATCGGAAGTGGATGAAAGGCTCATTCTGGGTTTTCAAGCAGCTCGAGACAAAATGCTTAAACATTATAAAAAGAGCAACTGGATTTATTGTACCTCTTTAATTTTAGACCCAAGGCATAAGACTCAGACTTGACAACATTGACATGACATTATGGGGGAAGAAAATTAAAACAGAAAGCCTGCGCAAATTTAATGAACTTTATAAAGAATATAAAAGTATACACTCAATGAATACATCTCTAGAATCACCAAAAAATGAAAAGAAAGTATGTGAATATGATGAAGATGAAGACGTAATAGACTTTGAGAAATTGTATGCATGTCCCTCGACGTCATCTGGATCTGGATCTTTTCCAGATCAAGGCTTAGTTATAGACGAGTTGGAGGAGTACCTAAGTAAACCCAGAGCTGCCAGTTCGGAAGACATTTTAGAGTGGTGGAGGACGCATGAGACAGAATATCCGACTTTATCGAAGATGTCCCGTGATTTTCTTTCAATACCTGCACCTTCAGGACCTGCTGAGAGATTATTTTCTAAAGTATCATTAGTAATTAGAAAACATAGAAATAGGTTAAGTGATGAGTCAGCCAGATGGTTACTTTGTATTAATTCTTGGTCAAATAAGAGAATTAATATAAAGTAATAGTAATATCAAAGCTGTTGTGTACTGTTTTGTAATTTAATTTGTATTGTATTTTATTTTTTTTATTTAAATAAATGGTAAATTGTATAACTCTTTTACTCCATTTCGTATAAGGGTCTATCAATCTCTTTCTAGATAGATAATGTTCTTTATAATACAGTCAAGTTAATGTCATTAATTTGTTTTTTATATGTTTTGACTAAGTTTTAGCACATGTAAGCTTATTAAATGTAAACGTATATTAAGAAACAGACTAACTCCCGTGGCCGTGAGACGGTAGTCAGCTCAGTTGGTTAGAGTATCGGCACGGATCGCTTAGGTCGTGGGTTCAAACCCCACCCGGTATTAGTTGATTTTTCGAATTTCTCATTAAATGTTTAGACATTTATTAATTTGGTTGGTCTTTCTATGGCTATGTTAATTCAGGCTCAAAATGTGCCTACTCTGTTAAGTTGTTCTAAGATCTAAAGTAACGTTTAATAAATAACAATAGGCTAATAGGTAATTGCGAGACTTGCGAGACTTGCGAGACTCTTGCTGCAAGACCAAGAACAAGACTGAGAGCGCAATACCAAGACCAAGAACAAGTCCAGGTGTATTGGCGCAAGACCAAGACCAAGACTGGCTAAGTTTCGTCTTGTTCATGCATTTGGGCAACACTAATGAATACATATATTAAAATCGTAAAGAGGCTGACGTAAGGACTCCTTAAGTATCTACAGGACCTTATTTACGTCAAATTATTCATTTATTTCTTATGTAAACTTTATATATATATACTGGCAGATTTTTTACCGTCTCGAGAAAAATAGGGTGTAACAGGTGAACAGAATAGAAGCCTATTGCAGTGATATTTTACAATTTTAATTTTTATATTAAATTAAGATTTTATGAAATTGATCTATCAATAAATGCTACGTACGTACTAATTTAAAATATACAACAAAACTTTTGAACTAAATAAATAAATCAGTTAAAAACTATCGGAATTAAAATAATACGTACCCAGTTAGTAGTATTGGTAGATCAATTTCATAATACGTTAATGTAAAATAAAAAAAAAAACGTGTGGCACTCGGGGACTGCCGCGGTAAAGCTATTGCGTAGCATTTTTATCAACTTATGCCATTATAATTATTTATTTATTTTATTTATGCGGTTTTTTTTTCTTTGTTTTTTTTTTCTTTGATATGAATTCAAGTTACACTTTTTGAGCGTGGTGACCGATAAGGAAACAATTTGTTTTCTTTTATTGAATAAATGAGAAGTTAATATTTTTTAAATTATTTTTATTATCTTACAATAGATGTAGGTTATTGAGGAATTTTTATCATTGAAACTATAGGTGTGTGGTAATTAACGAGTTTTTCCGACAAACGATAATTTTCTATAAAGTCTGTGTTTATTAAATACTCTAAATTCACGAAAGTTGCCTGCATGACGACGACACATATAAATCCAAAAAATAAGCTTCTTGCAATAAACTATATTATTGTTTAAAATATTTTTATTATCTTACAATACTTACATGCAACTAGTCTACACTCTACACGCATACGTCTAGTAGCACGCACACAAACACCGTGCCGAAGTCTGCCGAACTTAAACGACGTTAGACGATGTTAGGTTTTCGGTTCTTAGGTTTTTTCGTTACTTCGGTCGCCGCGCTCAAAGCCCGCGATAAAAGCTATGCAATAGCTTAAAACATCGTAGAATATTAGTGCCATAGGCTTCTTTCTTTCACCTGTTACACCCTATTTTTTTTTCAGACGGTAAAAAATCACTTAGTTTATATACAATATATAGCTAATCGAAAAAAGGTTTACCTATATGTATACAGAAAATTGCGCTTGTTGAACTCGTATGAATTAAACTATCACATGAACTAACAAATAAATTTTAAGATAATCATATACAATCGGGCGTTACTTTGCGGAAATCCATTATATTGAAGTTTTTAGAACTTAATTTGCATATTTCCGAGTAATAAAATAAAATAATGTGTCCTGTCCAGTCTGAAGAGCACCTATCACACTTCCTCGCGTGCACTAACCCTGTCACCACCAATCTCAGCACCACCACTCACAGCACCACCACTCCCAGCACCTCCATTTACAACACCACCACACTAGGATGGACACACCACCCTCGATAATACGACACGTGTTTCGACGACCGCTAAGCCTCTTAGCGGTCAATATCTGCAGAGTCTACTACGTCTGAGTAGCATCTATTAATATGGCGTTATTTAGAATTAACAACTACCCTGCCCGCAAAAAAAAACACAATAGATAAACAATGGAAATGTTCATATATGACTCACGGGACCACACGGGACAGTGAAATAATTAAGATGATAAAAAATATTGAAAATATTTCGGGGCCTTGCGAAGTCCATCAACAAGCAATGGGATACCGCGGTGGACTTATGCCCCGGAACTATCTCACTAATGAGTGGTTTTTTTATGTCCAGCAATGGAATGTTTGTAGACAGTACCTTAATTTTTTATACATAATTATTTTAGTATCGTGTTGGCTATCACATTTTCAAATAAATGAACAATATGTATAATTGGCAGATGCGCACTAGAGCGCTTCTTTGAAGATCACACTCACGGAATATTGTGGTCGATGCCGCACGCGGTGGCGGTGTGGCGTTATCCGGGCGCTCCGCCCTACTATATGCTGGAGCCACACGCTTGCGGCACCACTGGACTCCGTGTCGACGCACAGGTAACTGGGAAAAATAGAGTTAAAGTGTGATAAAAAGAGTGAGTGAAAGTGAATGTAGAGAGAGAGAGAGAGAGAGATGTGTAGAGAAAGGAGAGGAGTGTATAAGAGGGAGGAAAATAATGGAAGGCAGGAGCAGTCCTTGTGAGTGAAAGCAAGTGCGAAAGTGGGCACAACTGACACTTAACCTTTGTATCATGTTTTATGTGAGTGATATCGTTGTCGATTTTAGCCATCATGACAACCTCATGGGAGTCCCCTGTTCACGCTTGGAAGGGACATAGACGATCGCAGTCGCAAATGTCTTGCACCTTTGACGTTGTTTCTCACCGGTGTGTGCATTTTTCGCCTGGTATAAACGAGATGGTTATACCGTTATTTGTTGGAAGCGACACGATATCATTCTGGGATCACCCGTCACCTATTACGTCAACTATCGGTGGAAATGGGTTGATGGATGTTTCTTACGCCGCACAGGGCAAAATTTAACTATAAATTGTATTAAATCAAAGTCATCAAACCTAGTGCGGTGAGTTTATTACTTAGCAGGGCTCTTTTTTTGCCTACGAGTTAGTCTGGATTAGTCCATCCCTTTCCATAATTCTACCGCAAAACATCAGTGCACTCAGTTTTGTATAGACAAGAGAGTTGTGTAATTACAGGATGTGAGACATTTTTTCCTATTCTTAAGAAGTGACAACGCATGTGCGGCTTTCTTTGTGTAAAGTTGGTTTCAGATGTCTATGATCTGTAGTAGTAATTTATATCAGGTAGACTATTTTAAGCAGTTGCTAACTTTTGCTGTTGCACGTATGGGCAGGCTTGAACCGGGGAGGTATCACGATTTCACAGAACACCAGCGTGAAATAGAAGCTTTGCTACTGCGTTTCGTCTGGTGAGTCTGGAGAGTAAGTGGACTATGTGTGTGTTTGTGACTTTACTTGATTTAATGGACTGTATATTAATTAAGATGGGAACTAGGTGGGGACGTTCAATTAAAGAGTGGTACAACTAAAATATCTATTTATTTCCTATTTACAATAATATATCGGCAGCAGTACGTCCAGCTCAATCCCCAGAAGACACAAAAAGGGCCCCTTTGTCGTATCACCTCAGTTTCAAGGCACTCCCCTTGCTGTCTCAGCTAGCATCGGAATCCTCGGCGTCGACATATCGAATAATGTGAAGGTTCGTGGTTACTTGGAGTATAAGCCCAAATCGGCCTCTAAAAAGCTTGGCGTGCTCAGCAGGGTGGGACAGAATTTCATGCCGGCAGTTGCCAGCGGGCAACTTTACAAAGTGCAAGTTCGGTCTCACATGGCAATACTGTTCTCATATTTGGGCCGGCGCACCTCAGTGCCAGCTCCATCCACTTGACCGTATCTAGCGCAGAGCGTCTCGATGACCGAGTCCTTTATGATCAGCGCGATTCACAGGCGCTGCGAAGGGATGTTGCATCCCTTTGCATTTTTCTATCGCATCTACCATGGGAAATGCTATGAGAAATTGTTCGGATCAATTCCAGCCGCCAAATTTCGCGAACGGGCATCGCCTCAAAACTCACGATATCACCCATACCATCTGGATGCTTGGCGGACCACCAATATGCGTTTTACTAGGAGTTTTCTTCCTCGTATAACCTCTCTGTGGAATTGTTTACCGTCGGCGATTTTTGCGGACCGATACTACTTAGGGACCTTCATGAAAAGAGCTTACTTCTTTCTAAAAGGCTGGCAACGCACCTGCAATTCCCCTGGTGTTACAGTTGTTCATTGGTGGTGTTAGTCACCGTCAGGTGAGCCGCAACTGGTTGCCCCCTCATCTATAAAAACTATTGGCTCATTTGTCACAAAAACTACCAAAAATGAGTTCTTTTTAAAAAATTAAGGTAAAAAACGAGCGCATAGTTTACCTGATACTGAATGAATAGTATGGCCCTTAGATATCTATAATTGATTAAGAACCAAAATGCGGATACGTTGTGACTCCTGAGAACTAAGATGAAGTGACTTGTTACCAGTAATAATAGTTTCCAGTTCTCTACTCTCTCTAGTCGTCACTCGCCATTGAAAACACAGCAACATTACGCTGTTTTTACTTTAGTATTCTGCTAGACCTACACCAAATCTTTCCTCTGTCAAACTGACCATTTAGCTGTATTACGGCCGCAACATGGCTTATACCACGTAGTAAACGATAACACATAAGTAAGATATAACACAGAAACTCAGATTCAGTTAGTAGTTCTTAATTTTTCTGCAATAATTGCAAACTAGCTAGTAGCAGAGCCACAGCTTATAGTTGTACGAATGGATCGGCTTGAACCAGTCTCTCACAGAAACAGCGTAAAATAGCAGCGTAATGCTGCTGTATTTCGTATGGTGAGTGAAGAGAACCGGAGGTAATTTTTACTGGAATCGAGGCATTCCATCTTACTTAGTTGTGACAACGCATTTGCATTTTGATCCTTATAATAATAATAATAAAGCCTTTATTTACCGAAATATTTTACGTTATTACATTAAGTTAAAGTTTAACTAAACTAAAAAAAGAATTTGAAAAGAAAGTACAGCATTATATAAACTAAAACTACACTTATATTACAAAATGTCAAACAAAGGCCTCCTCCAACTCTTTCAACTGTTTTCTGTCTGCCTTTTTGCCATTTTGAACCTTAGTTGAAGATAAATGTGGATGTCTATGAGTCACATTATCCACTTAACATCAGGTGGACTGTGTGTTCGTTTGTCACCCAATGTTATAAAAAAAAATTAGTTTTATATATACAACGCTTACGATCGAGAGCTAGGAAACAATGACCCAGTGACTTTGGCCTAAATTATTTTTGTTGGATCCTGTTTGGACCGTTTGTTTGTTTGAACTTCTATCAAGGATCTTTAATATGGTAGGAAGGAAAGTATCATTATTTTAACTTCTTTCAGGATGATGGCGCTGCATGTGTATTGACTTTCACTTCTCCTAAGCTGATGGCATTTGCGTAAGAAACATTTCGTATTAATTTTTGTAGATTGAACACCGAAATTTTTTACCATTATTGTTACCGTTACAACCTATTTAAGTCCACTGCTAGACCTATATCTAGCTTGCGCCCTCCTTTCTGCCAAGGAGGGTCGCGTTCGTATACGGCTTAGAGATCTCTAGTCAGATCGTTAAGCCAGTTCCTAAAAGGTTGGGTTTAGTGGGTAAAAGTCACCACATAACCACGCAGCCGGCTGCGTGGTATGCTATGAGCATTCCCAACCTCCCTCCCCCCGCTTTCCGGAGGGTTGCCCATATTTGCTTCGGGCGCAAAAAAAAAAAAAACTATATCTATCCCATTGATTGCCTCCTAGGGGCACTCCTCCCTATGAGGCAATCCAGTTGGCACGCTTGGCAAGCGGGTTGGCAATCGCAGTTTTTTATTTATAGTATTATTAAGAAGACGGTGCTGGCCATCTTCTGATTTGTTCTCCTCTGCCGCCTCTTACGACACCCACGGTATGATATGGGATAGTGCATATTCTTCCACCTCTACTACATGGTCAACTTTTTGCCCTACGTGATTTTATTAGGTCCCGGTTACACTTGGCGAGCAATATTATGCCCCTTAAATGCCCACCACCCAGAGCCGTGGTAGCTCAGTGGTTAACGCTCGCTGTAAATATAACAGAACGCGAGTAACCCGGGTTCGATCCCCGCCAGCACCAATGAAATTGTTAATTGCAATTTTAAGTGCTGATTTACCACGTGCTCGGCGGTGAAGGAAAACATCGTGAGGAAACCTGCATGTCTGAGGAATAAGAAAAAAAATATTTCGAAGACATATGAAGTTCGTCAACACACATTTGGGCAGCGCGGCGGACACTTCCTTGCCCTAAACCCTCTCAGAAATGAGGGGAGGCCTGAGCCCAGCAGTGGGACGTATATAGGCTGTAACTTTACTTTTACTTTTACTTTAAATGCCCACTGTAAAAATGTATTTCATTAATTATAACTAACAAACATAAGATTAGACCTGCTGCTTTAGTAAGTCTTTTTTATTCATCAATGAGACTACTATATTAGTCACGTAACAATATAATACGGTGAGTTTAGATGTCGGTACTCGGTAAGTCTTTACGGAGTGTCAAGTACGGAGAGTGACATAGAGATGCCCGTAGTAACTCGACTAATTTATCTTAAAGAAATTTAAGTTGACTGTATTATGGTATATATTATTATATATAATTTATAGATATCTCCAGAACGTCCCAGCTACGGAGCGTCCGAAGCACGATTTTCAATTATATGCGATATCAGTGACAGTGCAACCTATTAAGAAGTTTGGTGGCGTTGAGCCACCGCTGGTGAGAGCACCACCTGGCATCAACCTGGTCCCTGCTACTAGCAAGGTAAAATGTCTTAGCTCCACACGCAAGTCCTCATCATTGTATCTTAGTCCTCAGGGGTGATAACGTCTTCGTATTACAGAATTCACTTGCAAATGTGCTCGTATGTTAGCCTTACTTCTTTAAGAAAAAGCTTCTGACATTCCTGTACTAACTACACCGTGTAATGTTTTAGTTCCTAACACTCCTCTGCTGGTCATGAACCTCTCACAGGTATTTTTTTCTTCATTAGACCACTAGTCTATTTCTGGACATGGCTCTTTGCGTTGTAGGGAGGATAAGCCTTAATCGACACACTTGACAGGCGAATTGAAGATCACAGTACCAGTTTAACAAATAAGGCCTTGTGAACCGGAGTAGTCTCATCGATATATTCGTGGACAGCTACCCAAGTCTCTCTCTCTCTCTCTCTCTCTATCTATCTTTATGTCTCCAAGGAATAAACACAGGTTATAAATATCAGTGGTAATTTTCTTAGTTGATATATAATAATAATTTTGATACCGTTGAAGAATGTTTGTAAATCTCAAACTGATATTTTATACGCTTTAACAATAAAATTATGACCTCCACGTTGCATTGTTTTTACACTTGCCAACAAACAACAAGGAGAAAACAATAAAGTATTACAAAATAACGTACAATTCGCAGTAGAATAGCAATTTTCATAATCATAACTTTACATTTTACTAACGTCATTTTTGGCCATATTTGGCCATTTTGGTGTAGGTATATATGATGGTGACTGTATCGATGGCTTAGTGGTCGTATGCTCGCCTGCTGATCATGATCCCGGGTCGTGCCAACAACCAGTTATCGGGTTTTTCTGCCAAGGAGTTCTCAGTGGGATCAGGAAATTGTATACGTGGTAGAACCGTGCTGCGGTTCTATTAGTAGTATAGTTGTAGCACGAATGAGTTGGCTCTACCGGGGAAAGACCACGCTCTCACAGATTACCGGCGTAAAATAATAGCTTAATGTTGCTGTGTTTCGTATGGTTAGTGTAGAGAATCGGAGACCCTTTTCATTGGAAATTGACATTCCATCTTAATCCTCACGGGTGACATCGCATCTGCATTTTGATTCGTAATCGAGGATACATGCAGGTATATGGGTCACAGCAACAATTTACCATCAGGTGGACTGTGTGCTCGTTTGTCACCCTATCCTGTAAAAAAAAATTGACTGTGTCGTACCCGTCTGCCACGGAAAGCGTGTAAAATCGATGGTCGTGTCGGATCTCCGCCATATCGAACTATGAGAGTAATCGAATAAAGAGTGCATCTGTGTTCTGTTCTGCGCAGATGGCTAGTTTCCGTTGAGACTGCCGCCGTGACTATTTGGCCTGAAGGATTATCTATTTAGTACTCCCAGATTTTTAAGTGAAAGATATTTAAATGGAAAGTTATAAGTATTTGGGTTGTGTTAACCTCATAGAATATTAAAAAATAAAAATATAAATTTCTTTGCAACTTTCCGCTAAACATATAAAATGATGTGTCTTACCTGGATTGAAGCGCACCTCCCGCCCTCCCTCAATTGCATACACTAACTCCGTCACCACTAGACCAAGCACCACTACTCCCAACACTATTCCAGGCAAGACACACCATCGACGATAATACGACACGTGTTTCGCCTCTACACGAGGCATCCTCAGGTAATATAGACTCTACGGCGGCTGACCGCTAAGAAGTACTTACCTGAGGATGCCTCGTGTAGAGGCGAAACACGTGTCGTATTATCGTCGATGGTGTGTCTTGCCTGGAATAGTGGTGTTGAGAGTAGTGGTGCTTGGTCTAGTGGTGACGGAGTTAGTGTATGCAATTGAGGGAGGGCGGGAGGTGCGCTTCAATCCAGGTAAGACACATCATTTTATATGTTTAGCGGAAAGTTGCAAAGAAATTTATATTTTTATTTTTTATTATAATGGATTTCCGCAAAGTAACGCCTGATTCTATCAATTATCTCATAGAATATGGTTCCTAAGTATGCGATTGGCTTAAACAGGTGGGTGTGGACGGCAGCCTGCGCCGCGCAGCCGAGAGCGATCGCAAACATCCCCCGGGAAGCGTGACTTGTCTCGACGCTCAACGGGCTGCTGAATTAAAAGACCGAGAAGAAGGCAAACTTAAAGGTTTGTTGTTTCATAGCTTAACCCTTTAACATTGGTGAAATAAAAGAAATTAGTTACTGTTAATAAATATTGCGATGATTTAATTGTCTATTTTATACGTTATCCCACACTAGGGTTTTAGTCTGCATCGTCGAGGCGTTTATCATATGCTTTGCGCATAATCAAACATCCAGTCAGGAACAATATTTGTAGATCATACAAAAAGTTGAGCAATGCGAGAATTAAACCCTCCACTAAACGCTTAGCTTTCTACATTCCTGACCCGTTGAATGAAATTTTATATGGTTTTTTATTCTGGTGTACGTTCTACTTACTTGGTTTGTGAGGCGACCTACTCTGGTAGAGATGTCGGACAGGTTAAACTAAAAAAACTTCACAAAGATGACAAACGAGCACGCAGATCACCTGATTGCTAAGAAGATGCTGTGGCCCATAGACGTCTACATCTATCCTCAATTAAGAATCAAAATACAGGCGCGTTGTCACCCCTGATGGCTAAGATGGAATACCTCGTTCACATTAAAAAGGGTGATCCTCTGCCTTTTCAACATATTTAAAAAAATACGCTGGTATTCTGTGAGAGTATGGTCCTTCCCTGGTTGAGCTGACCCATTCGTGCTACAACCATAATATAGCTGCATCGTGGCTCTAGCACGTAAAAGTATATGACTTGCACTTTTATTTTACTGTTCTGTGGACGTATTTCAGGACAACGGAACACAACCGGCTGGTTGGTGCTGAACGACGGCACACAGTATCTGTCAGCTCAGCATTCCATGGCCTGTCGGAAATTCTCCGCCGCTTCTAGAGGCAAGCAGGTACAGTAAATGCCATTGCGGTACATATAATAAAATTTTAAATGTAAGTTATAACAGTCAAAGGCAGTAGAAAGGATAACACAAGTTCGATATTCTATAAGAACTGTGTGAGATGCTACATGCGGAAATATTTTGGCCCTAAAATATGAATAGCAGTAGTCACTTTTTCAAAAGTTGAATTATTAACTCATTTACTTCTTGAATAATATATAAAAAGAAATAAAGGACAGGTCTATATCCAACAATGGAATTATTAAGGGCTGATGAGGATGGCATTGATGACTACATTAAGCTATATTTACTGACATTACAGGCTTTGGCGTGCTCAGTAATGGCAGTGGCGATGACTCGCGTCGAGGACGTATGCAGATGGTGCCCGACCATATTAGACCAGATACTGGAAAGCGGGGACCAGCTATACCAGGATAGTTATCTGCACTACAGACCGCAGCGAAAAGTCCTCACTATTGAACAGGTGAAAATTTTGTTAGTTGAAGGAATTATTTTTTTTACGTTTAAAATCCAAGGTTTAAATGTTTACAGGTATGTGGTGGTGGCTTAAGATAATTCATCACCACATTTCGTTCTAAGGGTTACTTAAAAGGCGACAATTGAAAGTATTTTTTTCCAAAATTGTTACCCCAATTTTAGGATTTTCTGCTGTATCGTAGAGGTAGCTTACAAACATAAATTTCACAAGGACAAACATTCAGACCCGGAACAACTAGTTACCTGTAGGTCATACAAATGTTTGTTCCGTGCGGGATTTGAACTTACAGCCCAAACCATAACTCGAGTTAAGCCGCTACGCTATGGAACCGTTGTCTATAGACGTAGACAACTCAAACCGATGACTGACAGCAGCGTTAAAGGTACGTTAGGCGAAACGTCTGATACTACTTTCGTCAATGCGCTTGAAGCATGATGATTAAGCATTAAGGCATTGCATGGTGATCATGTAATGGGAGAGGCACATATTCATCAGTGTACTTTGAGATCATCATCATTCTGATGATGATAATCGAGGTGAATAAGATAGACAAGTATTCCAATCTTTCTATAAGCTCTAAAAAAGGTTTCAATTTCAACAGAACGTTTTGTACGAGGAATTTCATCAAAAGGATGAAATTTCACCGTACTTTTAACTATAATCAGAATTAGAGTGTAGCTTTTGCATAAAATCTCCGAAATGTAGTCTGTAGAATAACGTCAGCTTAGGCCCAAAAGATTAAACACATAGTACGTCTTATCACATGTCTTTTCACTGAGTCTATGGTATCTAGTTGATAATGAGCAGCACCAAAAAGAGCGACGGTACATCAAACGTAACTGTACTTTATGATAAAAAAGGTCTTATTATATTATAAGTAGTTTATTTAATCCCAGGTTATAAACTGAAAGCTCTGTTACATAAGTAGACCCGCGTAAATATGCAAAGTAAAATGTGAAGTAAAGAATTTGATAGCAAATGTTAATTTCACCATTTCATCTTATTACACGAAGTTATTTATAAATCACCTCAGGTTTAAACTCGAAATTGTTTCAATAAAGAAGACCCTTCTTATAATGCGAAAGTCATAGTCATTTCTGATAGGGTTTTAGGGCAGGGAAATGTCCGTGGCGCTGCCCTAATGTGTGTTAGCGAACTTGACAACTTTTCTTCGAAATATATATTTTTTCTTATTTCTCAGACATGCGAGTTTCCTCATGATGTTCTCCTGAAGGAAAGTTGAAGTAATGTTTTAGCAGCAGTAAAAACAGCACTTAAAATTGCAATTAATAATTTCATTGGTGCTGGCGGGGATCGACCCCGGGTTGCTAGAGTACTGTGAATTTATAGCGAGTGCTTAGCCCCTGAGCTACTCGGCTCTTGGTAAGAATGCGAACTAAAATTTGGAGTATGAAGTTTGACGGCAAACTTCAAAAATCGCGAAGACGCCAAATGGTTCAAATGGCGCCGCGGCTAAGGCGTCTTAACCTTTAGAAGCTCTAAAACCCTTTCGGATTTCACAAAATGTCCCTTTGTAGACCGCGCCAAAGAGTATAGTAATATTTAGAAGGGACGCCTTAAAACCAAAGAGTATATAATCACTAAGTTTACTCGGAACCATATATAAGAGTGCTCAGAACGATTCTTTCTTAAATGTTATTTATATGAATTATATTCTTATAAATAACATTCGGAAGTAACGCGTACAGTTTTACATGGGTAATCGAATGAAAAACGGTCCTGAAATTATCACATTCAATGTAATCACTAATCAATACAAACTTGAGAACCTTAACTAAAGGACTTTAATTTTCAGATCCTTCGCAAGTTCTACACTCCTGGCAATTGCGTGTGTCGTGTTGTGGTGTACAAAGCGCGGCAGCACGGACGCGTCGACACGGACTTATTGCAACAAGTAACTATACAGAAATACCATATAATACATAATATAATACTATAGATACATATATAGCCACTCACCCCCTCCCGCCGATCCGATTAATCTACTTTGCTCGGATTTCAATAGATACTTGATTTGCTCTATGCGATGTTATTAACATTTCTAATACACTTACTTAGACAAGGGTATCGTTCACGGACATAAACCTATGCATAGAAGAGTGGTTTATTTCTAAGTATACTTGGCTCACCTTGTAATTATATTGGTTCTCTATATTGTTTAGACTGTAACATAGTAGTCACGCACTACTGCTTGGCGGTTGAAACAGGCAAGACTGTGTGACGGCGCTGTGGTCGCGCCACAAGCGCCTAAATCGCGCTATCAAAGTTTCGAATCAAAAATAGTATAATATATGGAATAGCTCCAAACTATCAAACGGAGCGTTGGCCGTACCTCGGGGAGAACACCTTGCCCGGCAGGAGATCTACCCTTTTCTTCACCGGCTACACCAGTGTTACCTACACAAACGGACTCCTAGAAAACTAGTCCTACTTATTTCATATATGTAGGACTAGTTTTCTAGGAGTGGCCGTGGGTTTATCGAGCAAATTGGCGATATATTTTAGATGGGCTTAATTAAGAGCACCCTAAGCCGACGAGCATGTATGCGCAAATATAGGAGTTTTTTTTTAAATAAGGGTGACAAACGAGCACACGGTTTACCAGATGGTAAGTGGTTGCTGTGGCCCATAGACATCTACATCTATCGTCTGAGGTACTCAGAATTGAAATTCAAATCTAGTCGCGGTAAAGTTGTAGTGTAACGTTACTCTCTTCTTTATCAACCCATAAGAGGTCCAGTGTAGGATAAAGGTTTCGCTTACCACATTTAGCAAATGGATTGACGATCTCAACACCAGACATCCCGCAAGCTTAAAGCTGCTGCCTGTTACATGTTTATTTCTAAATGTAACAAAAAAAAATCGTTATAGGTAAACAGGACGCTGGAAAACAATATAGAAGTTGCATTAATATTTAATTTTTTTGCCACATATTTATATACAAATGAAAGAGTAATTAGTTTAAAGTAGGTATATTTCTTATTAAAATAGTAAAATTTTTGAATGAAAAATAAAAACCACATGTGATTGGTTGTGATGTAATTATATCCGTTGAAACTGTAAGTGAATCGCAATTATGCTATACTTACTTTTGTAGTGTTTTTTATATTCGGAATACCAGGCACAGGCAATTTTTTTTTATTTTGACAACGTAAGTAGCCGTGTTTTATCATTTTACCATGCGGTGGCGTTACTAAAGCGGTATAATTACGTCACAGACGTTTGAATTTACATTTAAGAAAAACCGTTTTTAATTGCAAAATTACATGAAAAATCAATTGTTAATTTTTTTAATAATTTTTAGTAAACCTTCAAGAAAATATTAAATTAAAAGAAAACATACAACTTCTCTATTCTATATGTCGCGTTTCTACTGCCGGTCAGTGCAGTCGCATCATAATTATGTGGGGGCTCCAATTCCGAACCTACAATACTTTCGTAGTAAGCAATTCGACCTAAACGATCCGATACCGTCGTAGTTAACGAGTTACTGGCCTATGTTCAACAAAAATTGGACGTCATGAACCAGGTGTCCCTGGAGCAGATACTGATGACCAGATTCACTGAGGACGAGATCATCCAAGCAAAGAAGGTGTTAGCATTTGCAGCCGTGACCCAAATCCGTCTTATCACACGTCATAGAGATGGACGCGGTAAGAAAGACCTGCAAGACATCTTCAGACTGTTCAATGAGATTAATCCTGATGACATCCCAACTCTCCGTCATGCGATACTGTCTGTCAGCGGGTTGATGACCGTGAAACTAGGGCGTCCTCGTTCCTCGTCCTCGTCATTGCTTCACTACCTCAGCCCTTGACTGAACCCTTGAGTAATCCTCCGCCGAAGCCAACCTGTCAACAAGAAAAGGCGTTTGCGGATGTTGCTCGAAAATCTTCACAACCGTTACCCTTATGTGGTCGAAAACAAAAGAATGTGGATGTAAAATCAGTTCCTGTGGTGACCCGAACCAAGAGAGAGAATGACGGGCTTACTCTTGTTGAGAAGAGACGTCGGTCGATACCCGTCTGTAACCAGCGTGGTACCGCCAAAATAAACGCAAGTACAACTCTGCGTATTGTGGAGCTTACCATACAGATCTACGTCTCCCGAAAAGTACGTCGGGAGAAGACGACCTGCGTTTCGTGGAAGAACGAAGCCGATTCCGCATAGAGGATCCGATCTCTTTACATTTGCAGCGTCTGGAGTCTAAGAGATCCACGAACTTCAAATCCTACGTACTCCAGGTTCCTGCAAAATACAAAAAGACATTCCTTGCTCCCGATTTCTGGCCCTCTGGGGTAGTGTTTCGCCGATACAGGGACCCGCCAAAGAATAAAGTTCCCTAAATTGTGTTATATTTATATTTTATATATATATTTTAGGTTAAGGTATATATTGCTATGGGCCAATGTTCTTAATTTTTAAGTCCTTGATGCCTGAAACAATGTTATTGCATTGTATTGTTCTCTATTAGGTGCTTATTTATAATGTATTCTGACTATTACATTCTATCAATAATAAATCACTAGGCTGTGCTATCGTCGCAAGAGAATTCATATGGTTGATGTTAGAGGCGTCTACAAGATATGCCAAAATAACCATATGTCTACCTATAAATGGTGGTATGACCGACCATATTGCCAGGCGGCAAATACACTCAACCGGTTGTCTGGTACTGCCTTCGTCAATCCGCCTGCTTAATGTGATGATGACGCCAAATCCTCCCTCCGACTGATGATGAAAAAGAAGAATAAATGAATGTAGCCGGGTTCCAATTTTAAATAATTTACTTGGTTTGTTCTTAATTTGTGTCCGACTGGTTTTTGAAATTCTCAGTTGACCGAGTTCTTCCGTGAAGAACGATCCGGCGTGTTTGTTGCTGGGAATGGTGATTTTGCTGTGGCACTTTTCAGGACACCGCGCGGTAAATATGTCATATTTATATTTATATCACCCACTCAAAGAACAAGTGGTCTTTGCTTTAAGTGCAAAGCTAACTTCAAGTGACGAATAAAAATCTATCGCCCCATTTTATTCCGTTAGTCATCATCGTTAGAAGTGCTTATTAATGGCGATGTAAACATATTTTAATAATGTCCTCCAGACTGAATTTCGGTTACGGTGGCCAGTCTTACGGGGGCTAAGCCATCTGAGCAGGACGGAATTATAGTGCATGAGTATTTGCGTTAACAAAGTGCACTCTATTGGTTACCACTTTCATAATCCGATAGGAAGACAATTCAACATGACCAAAGAGATCAGGCGCAGAAGCAATAATTTCTTGTCAGACAAACCCTATAACTGATTTTGCCGTGATCCAGAATCCGAAACCAGGGCACATAATCAGCAGTTACGCTTAAGTCCACTAGACCTTTTATACGTGATAGGCCACGCTGCAGCGTTATTGAACAACCCGGTATTTGAACCCAAGTTCAATAATCTCATTTTCGACCACTAGACTAACGAGGAAATCACTATTAACTAGTAACGAAGCATTCCTTACTTCCTCAGGGGTGACAATGCTACATTTTGATGCTGATTCAAGGATGAGGATGTATGTAGGTATCTATGAGCCACTGCATCCAATAACAATCAGTTTGACTATGTCCATCAATTGTTATCGTTTGGACAGGTGTTTTAGGATTTTTTCTTTGGACAGGTTTCTACATGTTTGACCCGGCGGACCGTGATCGTTACGGACGTGCGGTGGCGCCACCTTGCATCGGTCGGGCGAGGGCTTGCTTCTCGCAGTATCCCAATGTAAGCACATTCTTTTTTATTTTTAACTGTCTTTTAAAGAAAAAAAATGCTGAAAATTGAATAACATAATTTGGATAATAAACATATCATTCATTCGCCATAAATTCAAATATATTTCTAATTAAGTTCATTCCAAAGAGAGCATATCCCGGGGGTGTTTAAACCCATTTTAGCTATTTCTCCCTGGCTTCTAAAGCAAACAATTTTACTATAAAATCTACTCGTATATCAATTTACCACTGCCTTGTGCTTATGTTCATTTCCATATATTAATAATTTTGAAACCTAAAATGATTAAAACCCGCAGTTATATCGATGCTAGACATTCTACAACAAAATTAAACGTAAAAAACAATTAAGATAAACGTTCATAGTTGACAACACTTCTTATAAAGTTATAATATTTTTGAAAAAAAATTTGAGTCAGTCCTGTTTTATACGAAAGATCAAGGTAATACCGGATGATAGTTTCGTGAATTTTACATAGGTAAGTATAATATGTCGGTATATCGAAGTGCTGAAGTGTTTGTACAGTAGGGCTACGATGGCTATCCGAGTATAGAACCAGAGTTCGAAACCTATCCAACTGCAGAGAGGTGTAAGACAGGGTAATGTTAAATCCCCGAAACTCTTCACCGCTGCGTTGGAAGAAGTTTTCAAGCTACTGGACTGGAAAGGATACGGTATTAACATCAATGCCGTGTACATCACTCACCTTCGATTTGCCGACGATATAGTCCTTATGGCAGAATCGCTGGAGGACCTTAGCACTATGCTCAATGACCTCAATGGTGTCTCCCAACGGATAGGTCTTAAGATGAACATGGACAAAACAAAGATCATGTTTAATGTCTATGTCACACCTATGCCGGTAGTTGTTGGGAGCACTATGCTCGAAGTTGTTGACGAGTATGTTTCCCTGGGACAAATAGTCCGACTAGGTAAGTCCAACTTCGACCGAGAGGTCAATCGACGGATTCAACTCGGCTGGGCAGCGTCCGGGCAATTACGACACATCTTCTCGTCAGGCATACCTCAATCTCTGAAAAATAAAGTGTATAAACCAGTGCGTGTTGCCAGTGATGACTTACGGATCTGAGACGTGGTCCTTCACTGCTAGCCGTATGAGGACGCTCAAGGTCGCTCAACGAGCTATGGAGAGGGCTATGCTCGGAGTTTCACTGCGTGATAGACTCAGAAATGAAGATATCCGCAGTAAAACCAGAGTGACCGACATAACCCAACGGATTAGTAAGCTGAAGTGGCAATGGGCCGGCCATATAGCTCAAAAAACCGATAACCGATGGGGAAGAAAGTTTCACGAGTGACAGCCTCGTACCGGTAGGCGAAGTGTAGGGTAACCCCCCACTAGATGGAGTGACGACCTAGTAAGACATGCAGGAAGTCGATGGATGCAGGTGGCTCGGGACCGTGCTTTGTGGCGTTACTTGGGGGAGGCCTATGTTCAGCAGTGGACTTGTGAAGGGCTGTAATGATGAAAAATGAAAATGATGAAGTATAATCAGTCAAAGTTCGATTCCGAATCAGAACGCAACAGCAATACCTAAACCTATAAAAATCCTATAAAAACCTATTCTTCAAAATTATTGCAACTAAGATATCCTCTATAATATAGAAAAAAGTCCGAGATGTCCGATACACTGACGTTTTGTAACCTTGTGGATATACATATATATGTACATAACACTTATTTCAATATCTATGTTTTAAAACTATAAAAAACTTTTCATATAGATATTTTTCATGGTTGACAGTCATGAGCTTGTAAAGTATATAGAAAAATTGCGAATAAAAATCTAATATAATGTTTTTCTTCACCGCCGAGCACGTGGTATACGGTATGTTGAAAAACTACTTACGTATAAACGTGCATATAATTACTTTCATCAGGTTCGAACATTAGCTGATAAACTAGGAGCGAATATTCCGCCGGTTGAAAAGGACGCTGGCAATGATGAAGAACCAGAGGTGAGTTGTAGTTGTTTGATATTTACCTATTTAAAGAAATTAAGTTTTTAAAAATAGAACATCGATTTTGAATGTATGATGAACGAGTACGATGACAACCGAGATTCTTTTGATCTCTTTACATTGACCATCACTGTTACCATAAGTATGGTCAATGAACACTAACTAATATAGCGACCGATACAAGCGAAATATTTGAATTATGGGTGATCTCTATATGTATCTCTGACTGCCTTATTAGTTTAGGGGGTTTAGTAGTGCGACTGCTGATCAAGAGTTCGTAGGTTCGAATCCTGGGTCGGGCGAAAAAAACAATTATTGAGTTTTTCCGTCAAGAAACTCTCAGTAGCTGCCCGGAATCAGGCAGTTGGCGGTGTCTCACCCCCGTGCTTCGGAAAGCACGTAAAGCCGTTGGTCCTGCGCCTGATCTCTCTCCGATCGTGTCGAATTACTGACCCATCGGATTATGAGAGTGAGGGAATAGAGAGTGCACCTGTGCTTGCGCATACACTTGGGCACTATAATCCTGCCCTGCGCCGATGGCTACTTTTAGACCGGGAGCCGGTGACAGGTGACGTTCCACGATTTTGTCGTGCATGCCTTTTTAAGGCTTGATAACTAACCCTAAAATATCAAAGATTGTCGGGGCTTTAGCCCCCCCCCCCCCGCGTCCTCTTCATAAGGACAAGCGTTTTTCTTTGTGTAGCGAATTTTCGTGTTTTTCCGTGATAGTATACTGCATGCATTGTAATATACGGAAGTTCAAGCAAATTGAAGCTCTAATAATTGATGGCATGCATCCCGCAGCGGCCCAAGATAATAAAGTTCTGAAAACCTGAAAAAAATTAAAGTGCAATTCCGTGTTTTCAAATTGCATGCCGATGTAAAGAATGGAAGTTTTTGTAATAAAAACACTCTGGAAAAATTAGCATGCACCTCTCTCTGTATGACCAACGGTGGAAAATTTCCGGAAAACTCTGTAAAAATTGAACTCCGATTTTCCGTGATTCCAAACTGCATGCCATTGAAAGTACACTTAATTTGTATCATTATGTAATAGTAGGAAATTTGGCATGTACACCAGAATGTTGCAAAATAGAGGCATGCATGGCGAAAGTTGCAAAAAACACTGTGCAAATTTAGGTGACTTGTTTTTGCATGCCGTTTTGGATTTCATGAATTTACATTATTTCAAGTCATGAACGTAAATGGCATGCATGTAGCTACAGCCCAACATACCAAAATTGTGGAAAAATTTAATAAACATCAATTTTTCAATTGAAACAAAAAACTGAAAAATGCTGTGACTTCTTCTTGCATGCCGCTTCGTATCGTTTTCGTAGATACTATACGAATTTCGGTTTTCTATGTAGATATACTAAATGCATGTATAGTCCACGCGCCAGCTAATGGTTTTCGGTTTTAGTGAGTCCGACGTGATTTTGCAATCGAATAATATTCATTTCTAAATGGTCAACCAGAATATCTTGGTGTTCACCTCTAAAATTAGTGGTGCCGTTATTAGTTATTGTTACGCGCCTAAGTTGACGTCATGTACCCGGCACTAGCGCCATCTAGTATCGGGGACGAGAGCGAGGGGGAGCTTTCCATAAAATTACATCACTAATCTTTCAACCGACAGCGCCATCTAGTCTCGGAACGAAGAACTAAGCATCTAGAAGCTGACACTGAACTTGCGCGTGTTTACTTGAATATTCTGGATTTTTCGGTGCTAATTTGTATTTATAGGCGCGCTGCAAGGTGCGATCGGGGAAGTATTGAATTTGGCGAGAAGCGAAGCTTCGGAGCGAAATAAAGTGAATAAGTGCGTAACAATTGATGTCAGAAGTGGGATAAAATCATGCCGATTTTACCTAAGGAGGAAACGGAGGGTGTCCGTACCCGAAGTCAATGCCAGCAGGAGACGGACCAAAAAAGATTTGGTGGTGCAACGCCGCAGACGTCGGAGGGCCAGCCACCGGCTGCAGGCCCGTCAGTAGCTCCTACATCTGCAGCACCCGACTTAGGTGCTCTGATGGTGATGTTGCAGGAACAGGCTCGCCGACAGGATGAACAGGCCCGCCGACAGGAGGAGCAGGTCCGTCGGTTGGAAGAGCAGCTGCGGGGCGGACAGGATGAACAGGCCCGCCGACAAGAGGAACAGGCCCGTCGGTTGGAAGAGCAGATGCTCCTCATGAAGGACCTTCACGCTACCTTCGGAAAAGAGATACGGAAGGTGGAGGATAAGGTTGCTCAACATGACAACCGGGTGTCGGAAGCTGAAACCCGAATCGACCAAGTAAAACAACTCGGGTTGACAACGTAATGGCTGACATGAAGAAATCACTGGACGAACTCAAACTGGGGGATGGAACTACAGCTCCCGTAGTAGCTACTACACCTTCGCTACGTGGGTTCAAAGTGCCACCGTTCGACGGGACTTCTTCCTGGTTAGCCTACAAAATCCAGTTCGAGGCTGTTATGAAGGCGAACGGCTGGAATAAAAGTCAGGCCATGACCGCTCTCACACTAGGCCTGCGCGACCAGGCCTTAACAGTTCTGGAAGCTCTCGGTGAGGAAGTGACTTATGAGCAACTCCTTGAGGCAATGGAGGCGAGATATGGCGACGCTCGCCTGGAACACGTCTTTCGTGCGCAGCTTAAAGATCGCATACAGCGCATCAACGAAAACCTGCAGCAGTGGGCTCTAGAGGTGGAGAAGCTGGTGCGAAAAGCATACCGGTCTGTACCTGCGCTCATTGAAGGGAACCTGGTACAGACATTCATCGACGGCATCCGCGACCTGAAAGTCAGAGCTGCTGTGAGGCTCGGGCACCACGAAACGCTTAAGGACGCCTTGGCCCATGCACTGGAGGTAGAAGTCGTGCGGCAGGATCATCGTTCCCATCACGTCAGGGAGGTTGCAGCAGCTACGGTTCGCGACCGCAATAAAGGACACAGCCCTAGGTGCTATGGCTGTGGGGAAAGGGGCCATCTTCGCTCCAGCTGCCCTAAGCGAATCCTAGAAAGGGAAGATGAACGATCTCAGAAGGGAAGTGCGGCTAACATCACCGCCCAGCAGCAGCCGGGATACGACTTTACCATCAGATATCGCAGCGGGAAATCTCATGGCAACGCAGATGCATTGTCAAGAAGACCTTGTCCTGAAGATTGGAAACGTTGTACTAGGCAAAAGAGTAAGGAAGTGGTATCCGTGAGGATGCTCAGGACAGACCACCTCAGCAACGAGTGGAAGGACAGCCTACGACATGCACAGCAGGAAGATCCGGACATCAAGCCGATTCTGGAATGGATGAAGGCCCGTGCTACCAAGCCTAAGTGGAGCGACGTCTCAGCGATGAGTTCAACCACGAAAAGCTATTGGGCCCGATGGGACAGCTTGCTGATTCAGGATGGAGTCCTGTGCCGTAAATGGGACAATTTTCGAGGAGACAGCTGTCGTTTGCAAATGTTTGTCCCTAAAGCTAAAGTGCCGAATGTTCTACAGCTGTGCCATAATGGTCGTTCAAGAGTCCATCTGGGACTTAAACGAACTCTGCTGAAGGTCCGAGAACAGTTTTACTAGGTCCATTATCGGGACGATGTCGAGGATTGGTGTCGCACATGTACAAGTTATGCGGGTGTGAGGGGACCTCAGACACGTAGTAGAGGAGCATCGAAATTGTACAATGTTGGTGCACCATGGGATAGGACAGCCCTTGACATTGCGGAGCCGTTACAGAAAGGCGCAAGAGGGACTTCTAAGATCGCCCATGTGGATCGCCTGGCGCGTTATTATGGGGCCGATAATGCTCGGGACGAGCATGTCTTAGGAGGGGGCAGTGTTACGCGCCTAAGTTGACGTCATGTACCCGGCACTAGCGCCATCTAGTGTCGGGAAGCGGTGGAGCTTTCTTTAAAATTACATCACTAATCTTTCAACCGACAGCGCCATCTAGTCTCGGAACGAAGAACGAAGCTTCTAGAAGCTGACACTCGAACTCTCGACCCCTTGCGCGTGTTTACTTGAATATTCTGGATGTTTCGGTGCTAATTTGTATTTATAGGCGTTGCAAGATGCGATCGGGGAAGTATTGAATTTGGCGAGACAAGCGAAGCTTCGGAGCGAAATAAAGTGAATCAGTGTGATTAATTTTTAGTGTCTTAAGTTTTAATTGTTGTAAAGAAAATTAAAGTGTTAATTTAGGTAATTCTATCGGCAATTTTTATTGTCACGAACCTCAAGCTCGTAACATTATTAACAAAAGTAACTGCAAAAATCATTACTGTACGATCAGTTGTTTTTTACTTATGTTTAACAAATACGTAAAATCAGAATGATAATTGAAAAACATGTTTTTCTTTTATTTTCATAGCCCCAAAAGAAAGCGGCGCTAATGACGAGGAAGTCTTATCGATGTATCCAAATTTTGATTATGAAGAGGATGACGAATCGAATAATGACGATGACAGCGATTGCCAATCCGATATTGGCTACACAACGGAAGAAGAGTCCGTACATAGCCGCGATGATGATGATGATAATGATAATGATAAATCGATAATGATGATGAAGCGGTTGATGATAATGATAATTAATAATACTTCACGTTTAAAATAATGATCCTGCTAATAATTTTTTAATTTCATTTTTATAAATAAATTAGAAAAAAATAATTTTTTTTGTTTATTTAATCACTTCTCATAAAGCTACAAGCATGCCATTCTGCATTTCAACTTGAAATAGTATCTACTGACAAAATACAAAGCGGCATCCAATAAGAAGTCACGGCATTTTTCAGATTTTTTTTTCAATTGAAAAATTGATGTTTATTATATGTATTTCAAAATCGGGACGTGTTTTTGTTATCCCCATACTTTTGACCAGACCTCTTGCCCATTTCAAAAGTCAACTATAGCAAATCCTGTATCTCATTGGTGTGGCACATTAAAAAGAAAAAAAGACTAATATATATATATATATATATAATTTTTTTTATA